TTTTTTTTGAATAAAGAAAGAGAAAAAGGGAAAATCCCTCTTCAGCAGTTTCACATTTCCTAACAGAAAAACAACTCCCAGTTCCTATTACTAGCTGCTAATATCACTATCCACCAGAGCTGTTGCTAAGCAAAGCGAGTCAAGTTAAAACTTCTAAAATAAGTTGTAGGATGGAAACGAAAAACCTAAACAAATTTACCATCCGCAGATTTCTGCCCGCTATGACTGCTCTGCCATTTGAGCTAAATTTAATACTATTTTCCAAGCCAAACTCTTTTTTACCTTCTGTGTGAAYTAAAAAGTACTATTTTAGATGGGCAAAGCTGCTGCAGCAGAACCTATACTTAGCTGTGCTGCCCTGTAATAAGGGCAGTAGCAAGTGACATTATTTTGGCCTCACAAGGACAGCCACCACGGAAGGAACCAAAGGTGTAGGACATTCTTACCACTGGTAAGCAGCTACAATAATTGTGCATCACTACTTGAACGTAACAACTGCACAACTCAGACCAAAATCTGTGCACTTATTTCCCTGCTAATTCCATTCAACAGCAAGGCAATAATCTTTGTCTCTGTCAGACTGCATCGTCAGTCATCACATGTCCTTCAGAGATTATCAATATCAAACAGCGTAACTGTTGAGAAAATTATACTGAGAAGAAAAAAWTTAAGGCACAAAAAAATCTGACTCAGTGTAGCTGTATTAGAGTAAATCTACACTAATTGGGCAAGAGGAATAATATCAGTCTAACTGCAGTCAGGTTGTTTAACCACAAACAATTTACAGCCTCTCGGTCCTTATTGCTGCTGACTTGTGTTTATGCTCTGTACCACATGATGGGCAGCAAAATAGGGCAATACAGGTCATTACCCCACCAATCCAGTCCTTCTCCAACTTGACTGGAATTCATAAATTGTTCCCTGAACTGCAGGGAATTTTCAGCGGCAGAGTCAAGAGAAGACATCTGCCTTCTCCCAGCTTCTCCCATCCCCAAAGGAGTGACCCTAGAGAGTATTTGCCAGCCACTTTGACTGCACACACAATAGTGAATGCTCACCTTTTCACATGACTACTAGTTTGGAAAATTTAAGAATTGCTTAACAGAATGAGACAGGATTAACAGGAAGAGCTGATAGAGTGCTTCATCAGTGAAGCCCTAAGTGAGCAGACTGGAGGAAGCAGGCCACCCTGTAGTTCTCATGGAAAGGATAGTCATTCTTTTCAAAAAAGAAGGAAAGTAAAATTGGAAGTGATTGAAATATTTTATCAAAAATGAGAGAAGCAGCTGTGTGAATGATTCACTCTAATAAAATCGTAGGAAAGTTTAACACTTCATGGGGAGGCAGACAAATCCTCAAGCATTACCTTTGTTAAAATAAACCACATGGAGCAAAGGAACGAGCTGAAACGAAACTATTCCTAACTAAATATTTTTGTAGTCAAGCACATTTCTTTTTTCAGAATCAAGCAAGTCTTTAAAACACCATTTGCACTAAACATCCTGAGAATTCTATTTGCATCTAATCATTTCTCACCCAGGGTGCAGCAGTCAGGAGCTTGCATTGCTCAAATTGAAGTTGTATGCATGTATTGCAGGCTCTAATTTCTGCCACGAGCTGGTAGAAATCTTAGATCATACAAGTGAAATGTTAGTTTTTCTTCTGTCTCTCATGCTGGTAATAACTTCTTACCAGAAGTAGGGTCTTTTCTTGTTTTTTGCTTTGCTTTTTATTTTGATATATTTTTTTCTTTTAAACAAAATGTGCTGTTGCTTCCAAGTGAAAAAAAATCTGGACAGGTCAAAATTAAACYTTCAAAAGCAAACTAGCACCAGCCTTTGCAAGATCACACATACACTGGTGGTGTTGGCTTATTTCTATTATCTGCTTTGCTAGACAGTAGTTCATCCAAATTGTTGATGAATAGAGCAGCATTACTTTAAATACAGCATTATACTATCACATGGTATTATTGTGTAAAATCACATTTTTATCTTACAGGTTAGAGGCAGTTTTGTTGATAAATAGAAATGGTTATATTAGAATAAATACTGCAATGTATCATAAAGAAATAGTTTGAAAGAATACATCTGTAACATATTAAAAGAATTTTAGAGTGTTGGTTTTAGCTGTTGATGCTGTTACCATTTCACTTATTTCTATTAACCTTGATAGGGTGGAATTTTTGAGCCTCTGAAGAGTCRCATTGCCCATGACATACTATAATCATGCCAAATCAGCAGGCCTATCAGGCTTTGCTGCTAAGTTTAGAGGGGAAATCCAAGTTCACACTGAAAATATGGTGCAATTACAGGCAGTGCTAGCTGTCAAAGCTGATACCATCAACAAATGATATTTCCTGGCAGGACAGCCTGTGTCTAAGAGTTTCCGAGAGATTCTGTAGAAAGAAAATATATATGTATATAGCAAGCTCTGCCCGTTCTCCGTTTAGGTGTATGTTGACTAGCAGAACTGTATAAAACGCTTAAAGATATTTAGAACCTGAATAACACTAAAACAGCCCAACAGAGTGACTAGAATAGATCTGATATAGGTTTGCAGGGTCACTAAACTCTTTGATCTCCTATAGGTAGCAGGAGAAATGGAATTCTCATTAAAAAGACCCTTAAACACTCTAATATAGCATGTATGAAGCCCCAAGAAAAAAACCCTCATAACAATCCCCAGTAGACACTATCTATATTCAAGAGGAAAAATTAAAAATTCCTGTGTTGTAATTGTTTAAAAGTGGACACTGTGGATAGAGGAAAGTGGATAAAAGACACAAACAGTAAGATTCTTAATTATCTTGCATTATTAGAGAAAGAAGTTAATTTTAAATCCTTGAAGTCCTTGCAAAGACTTCAAGATAACAGTTTTACTAGTAACTTTAGTTTTACTGTTAATATTTTCCTAAGTAGAAGCTGTTATTATTTTCCCAAGTAGAAAAATAGTGACCAGAAAAGTGGCTTCAGAAATCACATAACAGAAAATAGAAACATAATTAAATCATGGATATCCTAACTGCACATCCAAAGGGAATCTTTATCAAAACTGACCACGCAATATTTCTACCCCATGAAATATCTGTAAGGGTAGTTTTGACTGAAGTATTTTATGGCAGAAAACTATTTTCCATCAAGAAAACCTTGTAGAGAAAATTTTCTATCAGCTATCTTCTCGCAATATTGGTCCTATGAGAATCCAGCAGTGAATCTGAACGTTGTGCAAGGCACTGATAACCTACCCAGCTTCACAGTCTGCAGCCTGTGCAGAACAAATAATATCTGCAATGTGTCTGCAGCACATAAAATGCGAGCATCTGCATCTATCTCTTGTACCATGTGTTTTCTTGGGTGCACATTCAGGATGTTAGAACATCCCTCTGTCTTTTTTCAGCAGCTGTGCTGGAGGTAAAGGGGAAATGGTCCTCCCCAAGCTCTAGCTGTGGTCCTTAAGAGGAGCAGAGAAAATAGCTTTGAGGCTGGAAAAGGTGAAATTGCCCATGTCCCCTCTGAAGATGTATCTATAGTCCAGTCACTCTAAACTGGATTGCTCACCCAAAATTAGCAGCACGTGCATGAACAGAGGCAACTTCTCAGCAAGCCTGGYGCAGGCTCAGCACTAGCACAAGGGACAGGGGACACTGTCCCCTAGGACAGGCTTMAATCTCCATGTGCTCAGTGCCCATGGTCCCATAATGCTGCCTACAGCAGGAAAAATTAGCACAAGTATTCCTATATTCCTGTGTTCTTACATAGGGTATCAAGGCATTAGTTTAGTCTCAGTGTATATTGCCTCATGTTAAAATTCTTGCTTTCAAATAGAAAAAAAAATATCATCAGCTCAGAAGAATAAGTAACCAGCTTCCAAAAATTAGCTCAGATACGCAAACACAGCTGCAGAGAAACCTGCAAAATCATTGCCTAAGAAGATTTAACTTGCAGTCGTTTAGGCCATGGAATGATAAATGCTTCCTTAGTCCTGATTCAAAATGTAGTATTTACTTCAGAGTCTTATTCTTTGTAACCATATCCTAATATCCCTGTATTTTTCTGAAGGAAAAACTATTTTTTCTGAACTTGTTATTTATTCCCTTTGAGCTTTTGTTGTTATCCTGTTCTCTGTTAAGCTGAGAACATTATGTGGAACAAAACAGGCAGCTCTGAGAATGCCAACGGTATCCACTTGAAATGTTTCTCTCATTATTGCATGAAAGTAAGTTGTATTGTAATGGATGAAACATTTTTCTGAGACAGATTTTATAATCCTGCTTTAGCCATTATAGTCAATCATAAGGTTATGCAAATGGCTTCACCATTAGCCTGTAAAACAAAGCACATACTTGAACACAGTCATCTTGCAGCCAGAGTTTCTTGTATATTTYAAATTCTACCTTTATTTCATGAGCAATCATGCTGAACACAACGAGACCACTTAATAGATTGGAAGACTATGTAGCAGGATGCGAAGGGCTTGGTGCTGCTATCGTATCAGCAGTTTCAGAGATATGCAGTCACTTGCTGATTTATGCGACACCTAAGTAAATGCAAAAGTAAATTGTGCAAAAAATAGTTCCACTGAAGCCTGGGGAGTAATTTAAAATCTACAGTTGTGTAAAGGAACAGATTGGAGGGGCGCTGTTAGAGGTGAGAGGAGAGGTTACAGCCAACTATTCCTTGGTGGTTCATACCAAAGCTTCCGTACATTGCACAAACACATCCATAGAAGGATACATTCAGAAGGGCCTAAAGCTCTGCTTGTCACTTTACCTTCTTTTCTCAACACATGCATTAATCACCCTTTTGCCATGATAGGAACAAAAATCCTTRAAACGCAATAGCTGGAGAAATGTAACATGGCAGGCACAAATGTTGTCTGAATTGCTACTAAAAACACCCACAAAATTTACAAGAGAAATACCAAAAAGCCATCACAGAGACTGGAGTTTTGAACAGCCCTGATTTTCAGCCTAAGCTGAAAAATTCTGTTTCACTTACCAATTTATGGGTGAGGTGGATGGTAATCAGAGGAGATCCTGAGAGATTGAGAGACAACACAGGTGGAGGTTCCACCTTCAGGGATATAAGGTAACTGGTTGCTGAGATCATATAGCCTTTGTAGGCAGCAGCTTCAGGAATCCTTGGACAGAGAGAAACAATAGATGAAAGRAGCAATAAAGAGCACTTAATTTATGTCTTTGGCTGTAAATTTTTTTTTATTTTAAACTATTAGTGATAGACTATGCATGAAAAAAGTGTTTTCTGTCATCTACCTCTTAACCAGGTATGTGAATGGATGGTATTTACAATTGCTAATATAAGCCATGGTGAAATAAGCATCGTTGTGTGTTTCTAAACATAGCAATCTACTGGAAAGGGCCAATTCAAAAAGTGCACTGAAAGTCTTATTTACGTCTGCAGCCTGTTACAATGGTTTCTTGTTTTTCTTTCATTGACAGAAAAAATATCATGTCAGGCATTAAAATAACTTCATTCAACTGCTCAGTGAGGTCAAATAAAGCAGAACTTATTTTGCACAACTCAACCACCAGTCCTTTGCCTTTCTCCAGTTCTTGTATTGCTTCTGCAGCCAGTAACCACAATGTAAATTGAATTTATTCAGAGGGCAGAATTTGCTACTTTCATATGAAAAGTAGAGAAGGGCTTATGCGAACSTCATGCTCAGTACCCAGCCTTTTGATATTGTTCCTGCAAAGATTAAGCTGAGGCATTTTTTTTCCTTGCTCATTATCCGCTCTTTTAACTTAAAAAATCTAGGTGAATAGGGATACACATAAAGAACTTCAGCACATACAGGAAATGGTATTTCTATGTTCCCTGATTGCCAACATCAGACTTTCCTCGCCGTGGCACAGTTACAGTTATGCGCCTGGATTCACATGGCATTGGATCTTATTCCCTGTAGTTAGATCATTACAAATGACTAGGAGCAGATTTGGACTCAAAGCCTTTTTGTTTATTTTTTTAAGGAATCAACACACACAACTTAATTCCTTGTTGGAGGGTGGTGGTTAAACAGCCTGAAAATAGAAAACTCATCTGATGCTACAGCATGGAAGTTCCAACAGGTTGTTTCTAACCACAAGAAAATGACTTTTYATGCCTAAAAATGGGCAGGCTTCAAATTACAGGTGCTCAAGTGGTCCAAAGCTAGAAGGAGCCTAAAAGCTTCCTCCTAGCTTGGAAAACATTGCCATTCTAGGTGAAACAAACAAAACAGATGACAGTCAACAAAACCAAGCAGGAAAGACAATGCATACTTATTTTTAAAACATTTTTCAGATACCTAGGGTTTGATTCAAGAAAGGAAAACCGCCAAACCAGCATTCCGCATATTATTAGAACACACTTTGGACAGATCTGCATCTAGACACGGTTCTGTAATGCTACATATACTGCAAACAATTCAAATAATTTTAATCATCTGGACAGAAATATACAAGCCATTTTTACTCTGGTCTTTGTGCGTTTTCTTTAGCTATGCAAGAGGACCGGTTCCTTCATTCTCAAATACAAAGACTGCAAATCCATAYAGTTTCGTGGAAGAGGGATACATCCACAAAATTATTGAATTACTGAATATCCACCAAGGTAACGTAAGTGTGTTTGTTCCCCAGCTCCGAGCCCAACAACTTATAGCTCTAAGGCGACACATTGGAACACGTGTTCTGAGATGCAGGTTCTTCACCCATTAGCCTACTGCTGGGTTTATCTTTGTTAAGCTTTGACTTATGTCAAGACCCTACTAATTTTCTTKTTCTCAAGAAGAAATTGAAATTATTATTTTTATTTCATAAATTGCAGTGATCATTCTGCTTGAAAAACATAAGCTGTCCAATTTTAGCATCTGTCAAATAAATAGCATCTATTTATTGCTATCTGTAAAAGAAATACTGCACACTAATGATAGGATCCCTTTACATGCACCTGCTAACAGCCACCTTTTGAGATAGAGTACAAAAGAGTACAATTTTCTACTTGATGTAAAAATGATTTTTTTAAARTTTTATCATTAACTTAGCACGATCAGATTGGTCACAAGCCAGGCATCATCTGGAGTTCATAAGTATATTCCAAGGTAATCATGACCTTCCTTTCTGTATAGCTTTATGCAAGGCAATCCCTAAAATACAGGGGACCTAAGGTGCTCTGTCCTTTTTTTCTGCTCTCACACACAACACAACAAAAAAACACAGACTAGGTAAGACTAACAATCAATGTAACATAATCTATATCATGTAGCAGAGATTAAATAAAAAGATAAATTAATACTATCTTAAAATAAAAGTGTAATGATTTACATAAATGACCTTGCAAAATTCCCTGGGGAACCATCTTGCTGAGAGGTATGGAGCTCTTCCTTTATCTTATCTGCTAATGATTTCATGGGTAACAGCATATAAAGCAAAAGGTCTTTGAAGTATTGCATGGTTTATTGTTGTAAAATTATCTTATAGGCTTATAGGATTAGGATTCAAAGTCTTTCTTAAGAGAGAGGTTGTGTTTTCTTGTTTCACTCAAGTGCAAACATTATCTTTATGCATGTCAGGGGAAAAGATATAATTTGGGTCTTATGAGACAAAGATTAGATAGAATCACAAAATTCCAATATCCAATCCGGTGAATGGAAGTAGTGACAACGATAGATGAGTAGGTTGCTATGGGGATTGGTTTTACAGCAGCATAAAATAAAACATCTAATGTAAGTCTTAATCTCTCTCTAGTTAATGACTAAATGTCCTTAGCGTTGCAGAATCAGGATTATGGCACATAACATATTTACAGTTGTTAAAGTCATGACTGTTATAAAGTTATATCACTAGGGCAATAAAATATAAGCAGCATGAGAGTTCCAGGATACTTACTTGGTATCCATAGGGTCAATATTGTGAAAGAAATAGTGCATGTTATGGTAAAGCAGGCCAACAATGGTTATCCAGGCTGCAAAAAAAAAGGCAACAGAGGTTATTCCTTGGAGCAGCAGGTCCAAGAGACAGTTCTCTCCTAGACTCTAAACTACCTGCTAATTAAGAGCCTTGATTTCTGTAAATTCTCACATTGAGACACGTTTATCTCTTCTGGAGTGATAGAAAACAGCTAAAGCTCTTTTCTAAGTAAGTGTAATCTTTAGGCCACGATTTAGCACTGTACAATTGGACTAACTTAAACATTTATAATTTCAGCTTAAACARTCAGCATTCAGAAACCCAGAAAAGGGAAAAATAAAGAACATCTGTGTGTTTGGCACTTAAAATCTGAATCACTCAGATGCTGGAGAACTTGAAAATCATGCAGCAGGCAGACAGCAAACTAGCKGGTTGTCCATGTTTGAGTTTTGTGAGCTGGATCATTTAAAAATACCAAGGATAAAAAAAAAATCGGTATTAAGAAAAAAGATTGCATGGTGAGAACATCTGGAGCATCACTTGCATTATTGCAACAATACTGCATGTTAGAATATTGCATTAACCATTCACTAATATGATAGGAAAATTGTTGCATTTTTAAGCCAACATAATAGACAGGGATCAAGTCAGTTACTATAAAAATAAGGYAAACCAGAAGTAGAACTATTTCTGGATGCCCCATTTACAATTCTGCACCTCTCATTAGCTTTTTTCCTTACCTGCTTTATGGAAAGCTTCACTGGGTATGGAAATGTAACTCTGGCCTTTGGATGGAAAGCGATAGTGGRACAAATTCAGAGACGGAGGATACATTTTTGCCAAGGAGTAATCTGTGTGATAACCCCCCCAAAAAAGAAAAAAGTTGGAAAAATCAATAACCATTAAACCTTATTTGACTATATGACTAGAATCAACTCTTCCAGTAGCTATTGCMGGTTCTGACTTTAAAGCCTCAGGTGTTTGCAGAAAATTGATTGAAACTCACAAGTATAAAACTGTCTATATGTATATATATATAAAATATATATAAAAATATATATTGTTGTTGTGTGCTCAATCATGGCACTAATAACTCCTCAGGTTATTTGCCTGTTTGCATAGCACCTGATGAGGCAGAACAAAATGCCAGAAAAGACCAGTCACTTGCACTACCTGTATCATCCGAAGATATGGATGAAATTGGGGAGCAACAAGGGTACAGGAAAGCAGTCGGGGGTGGGATGTGGAGGGGAAGTCCTCCTAACACATATAAACTTGTCCTATTATTTGCCAATTCCTGTCCTGAGATGAAAGCTTTGCAACTTCAAAACACCACACAAGAGCTTTAGGCAGCACTTTAACTGCTTGCATCCTATTGGACTAATTTCCTAGAATTCCTACTCTGAACACTTCCCCAAATCAACTCCAGGAAGCTGATGATGCTGTCAGAGATGAATAACTCCAGACCAACTRTACAGTAACCTTTCTGTAACTGATGCAATACTTTGCACTTAAAAGAGAAAAATGCCCTATTTTGATTTCCTCTACRTTGAGAAAGAGGGGCTACAAGCATGAAAGGGTCTATGATACCCAGACATACTCCAGTCCAGAAGGAGAGACAACATTTCTGGTAAGTCCTACCTGCCACGGGTGATGTGCCCTCAATGGTTACAGGCAACGAGGACTCTTCTAGGTGGCGAGCCACGTGCACCATCACACAGTCAACAGTCTCAACTAAACCTCCAAATACAGGAGCAGTCTGGGGGGGAGTGGGGAAAAAAGAAGGCTCTATAACAAAAGAAACTCCSGTTCAAAGCACAAAATGACAAGGTGCCATGGTAAAGTCCTACCCGAGTCATCATTCAACGGCCCTGTAAGATACGTCTCTCCACAAACTTGACATTGTGAATAAAACAATACGTGAATTGATGCCGCACAGAGCCCAATGTCATAAAATTATTGCACAATATGATTCTTTGCTGTGCTCATCATTTGGCAAATATATTCAGGATTGAGCACAAGGAGGCCAAGAAATGAGTAGATTTTAACAATTCATAAAGACCAAAAAAACCTCACGCCACTCTGATCCTAGACTAGTGTCAAATATCCATCAAAACATAAATTTATACATACTATAGTTTGACATTCATTTCATTTTTATTAACACATGTCGCTGTTCCCTGGCATAAAGGCATATTGAAAGTTTATTTACACCTGCTAGAAAGCAAACGGTTCAGGCTGAAACCTGATGCATAATGATCTGAGTGAATGCACGGTTTAACAGAAACATCTGTTTGAATAATTATTTGCATGAAAAATTCTCACAGATTCTAGGCCAAGAACTTAAAACCAGATATCTGTCTGTCACTAAATCCTAAAAGGCTTTGAAAAGAACTTAATTTATTTTAGCCTTTCTCTCATTACAAGATTTGTCCATTCTCAAAGTGCATTCAAACTTCAGAAGATCTCAGAAAATTCCTGAATTGTTCTTGCTGGTTTTCTTYGCATTCTAAAAGGACAGATAAGAAACTAGAAAGTGATAAAAGCCTCTTCCTCCTTTCAAAGTTTTAAGTCCTCTAAAGCAAGTAAGCACTGCTGTRTGTTTCATACATGGGCAAAAAAAGTGAATCTTCAAAACAAATTAAAAAATAAAAATATCTAGTGTTTCTCAAATTCATAAAATCCTATATTTAGTTTAAAAATCACAGAAGATCCCTTATTTTAAGTCTCAAAAACAGTACAGAAGAATGATCTTTGCCTATGGAATTTTAATTAAAATATGAAAGCAACCTATGGGAAGATAACAAACGAGTCACACTATCAAGCAGTTCTGACATGATGTATAACAGAGGCAACCAATGTCATTACCATCCATAAGATAATATGCACCTGAAATAACCTTAAAACCTAAGCTATTTTTCTTACCTTTGATTTATCAGTCCAGACGGGCAATGAAAGAAAATCTCCAACAACATTTAAAAAAGCCTGGAAGATAAATAAGACTGTATTATTTGATTACTTATTCACCAGCTACATCTTCAAGTAAGCACATAAAACAGATCTTTCCTTATAGGGTTTCCTTATACAAATTTTCAGATGACAGACCTCTTCTCATGCAAGTCACAAAAATTCATTCCCTACCTGCCAGCTCTCTCATCATATTTCATATAGTGACATTTTAAAGTAATAGCTTGTTTAATAAACATTCCTGTGAGGTTCCCAAAAATTCAGTGGTTACAGTACAGCTAAGAGGAGAACATCGGAACAAAGAGMAAGTCAAGCTATTGAATCTCACGCAACACTAACATTAAGTTGCTACAGCACCAGGTATGTGTCTGGGCACCATTTCAATGTGATGATCTACGTAACTTTTGCATTAGGCTGTTTTTGAGGTCAGGATCCTTCACTGTGGGCACTGTTCAAGCACTCAGCACAATACAGACCCTGTCCTAAGAAGTCTTGCTGAAGACGACGATTAGGAAGGGAAACTGGAGCATGGAAAGTGCCTGTCACCCAAACCACACAGCAGCTAGAGGGTGAAAAGTCAAGTTGCTCCATTGCCTCCCTAAAGAATAATAAGACTACTACCAGGGGGAGGCAAGACACATAATTCTCTCAAACTGTTCAGGCCAAAATATGAGCTCGAGTCTTRCAAGTGGAACTGCTCTCCCTGGCTGAAATGTCCGTCTTTCAAAGGTGTCTTAAAAGCATCACCATAGATACAGGGAAGTCTCAGTGAGAAATGCAGCAGCCACGGTGCTTTCCAGGGACATTTTTGCAAGCCRTAACATATGGGGCTGCACTGAAGCTTTCTCCTTAGGGACTGCAGGGTCCATGCTGCCCATTTCCAGGTGCATTTCTACCAGGCACAAAGGTTATGCTAAACCTGAGAARGAGGGTCTTTAAGGATCTCTTTCCAAGATACAGAATGTCTTCAGAATTCCCCCTAGGAAGATGCATTGACCACTAGGAAAGGATGGGTAATAGTGAACAAGACCTACTGAGCAAAACAGGATTATAGCAGAAAATATAACTAAGGTTTTTTCAGAAGCAATTCACTATAAATGCATGCCAGTAATGAAAGAGTTGATTGCACAGCATTTAAAATCAAGTTTTTTGTTGTATTGTGAGGCATCTGACAACCAGGACAGAGATAACGAGAGGAACAGGCGCACACACTTGGTTCCTGCCTTTCAGAGAATTAGCTGCAGACAATACAAAGCCAAGCCATCAATCAGGCATACAGACGCAGCCGTTTGCATGATCAGGACTCTGGTGTTTATTTCCCAAAATAGCCCTGCTAAAGATAAGCATGTCCCCCGTTTCTGTCTGCGCATCGCTTTCCTGCCACACAAAGCAGCATCAGATAGCACCAGTGAGCAGCAAAATGGGAACTGCAGCCATGTGGGAAATGGGAATGGTGTCTGAAAGGATGATGCACCATTTTCAAATGGGATCTTCCACGCAGTTTTCATTGGAATAAAGGAAGTGACATCTTAAAGCTCTTTAGAAGGATTTTTTCCTCCATATTAAACTGATCCATAAAATTCAAGCTTTAGATTTTGCATATGCTAAGCTTTGAATATAATCTAGCAATTGATGCCTGTGTATCTTTCCAAAGCACTTATCCACAGTGCTTGTCTAATAGTCTTTGTCACATGTGTATTACCCACATGCTTRAAGAAACATTGCTGGTGAGGCCAGAGCTGATAACTGTGATTACATCTTCCTAGCCTGCTGAAAACAGGGAATTAGCTTCTTATCACTTCACACAAGGCTGACTTCATATTAGTACAAAGTGTCCCCTTGTCCTCAGTGCAGAGGACTACAGAAATCTTTTTTCTTCTTTTACTTGAAAAAATGAATTAAACTTTGTTTTAATTTTAATGTTTTAATGTTTAATTTTAATGTCTAATTTTTATGTTTTAATGGTTAAACTTTGCACCTGATCTCTCATTGAGCCAAACTCAGTGCAGATTTGCAATAAGTCTCGCACAGCAGTACCTGCTGCAATTGCAACACAGCATAAGACAAGAGCCTTAACACACAAAATGTACAGACCCTAATGTGACCAACAGTCCCTCCCACCCAGGCTACCAATTCAGAGCCTGGACCTCAGCCTCTCCAGAGTCCAGCAAGCAGAATGCAGGACTTTGCACAAGGAGAAAACTTTYGGACAGACACAGCTCAGCCTGTGTTCGCTACAGGAGCGAGAAACACTAGGAAAAAGTTGTGTAGACAGCAGTTAATGATAACATATTGATAACTCCCCACTGTGAGACTTAAACTAATTTGCTCTTTGGAATTTAAGCATTAAAAAATATCCCCAGACACTTAAACTATTTCTTATGGTTGAAGCTCACATTCTGATGCTTATTAAAATAGCTATTTTTTTCACATGTACATTTTGCAATCAGCAATAGCTTTCAAGTCTGCAATCCAGGTTTCAGCTTCTGGTTCACCTGACTTCACACACAGATGTGAAAGAAGTACCTCACTCAGGTGAAGAGCAGTGTTTTCTGACAAGGATTTGTTGGGCAAGTTGAATGATATGTTTCCTAGGTAGTTCATCATAATATCTGGGAAATGGAACTTCCTTCTTTCCTCAGTCAGGTTAGTTATGATGGGATGATAGGCATTTGTAGACAGCTGCATGAGAGAGAAATCTCATCAGAATTTAAGGCAGTTGTTATTTATGGTTTTAGTCACAAGGGAGGTAAATGACAGTTTTGAATTTTCTAAGAGACACCATAGCATTGTCAAAAAATGCAATTTCAACACTTGTCCTAAGTGGTTCTCTGTCTATAAAGTGAAAAAATAAAATAGGTTCCTAATGCAATTATCTTCTCATTGAATAGAACACAGCCTAGTATGACCACTAAGAAGGTGGAGAAGTGACTAAGTAAACCAAGCAAGGGAAAAAAATGAATAGATCGGGTTATCAGAATCAGACACATGTCTTCTTTCATCAGAAACTGAGGTCATATCTGCCGTGGCTTCCTGAAACAAGATAACAACTGATGCAACGTTGACACTGCAGATACTAAACCAGTGAAAAGAAATTGGAACAGCTAACTGCACATGGGGTGACTAATTATACATAGACTGCACATTTTCATATAAATTTTTATCTCTTTCATTTAAGATTTTCTAAAGGGATGAAAATAGTTCCGTTATTTTGATAACTAGTTTATCTMATTTCAAAAGAATTTAGAAAAAAATAACAATTTTGAACATCCTCCCATATTTGCAGGAGACACTGAAATTTGTCAGTGTCCATTTCCAGTGTCAGTTTGCCAGTTTCCTTTTGGAAATGGAAAACAGACTTTTATTTTACAKCAAATTGCTTGCATCTTCCCTAGGTCAATTCTACTGTTTGTTAGCAATTGCATAGTTCACTCATCATAGTTCACTTAGTGACTGAAAACATTCACTATGCATATCTGAAGAAACTTATAATCAGGAAGGTAAAATAAATGCCATTAACAAAAACTAAAATGAACAAAATGGCATTAACAAAAAATGCCATTAACTGCAGATTATCTGTAACTTTGTAATATATACACATGCTGATATTACAAAAAGGAGTTATGAGGATTTCCCTACCACAGGACTTGCAGTGGTTGTCATCACAGACCATGGAACTGCTGAAGAGAGCACAACTTGCACACCTGAGAAAAATAAAGGCTGTTTTAACATATGCATACAAGAAGTGCACACATACAGGACAAAGTTTACTAAAAGCATATTCCCAATACAAGTTGGAGGAATTCTAACTGATAGTATCAAACTCGTTGTTTGTATTTTACTTATTTCCAGTACCGAAGCTGCTCAATTTTATTTCCTTGTCTTTACACAGTTGAGTTTTGCAGATTTTAAACAGTTAAAACCTTTTCTTGCAAACAAAAAATTAAATGTTATTTGCAATTCATGGCAAGTCCTTCCATTAAAAAGGAACAACTATATAGTTAAATAATTGACGTTCAACTTCATTCTCTTGTTCTATCACAGGCCCTTTTGGTATCAGCTATTTAGGGCAACCTTGTCTAAATCCCCTGTGCTTTATGAAGAATAAATAGTCTAAGGGCACTTTTGAAAATTTGACTCAGAGGCAAAATAGAGGCTCCACCAGTAGTTTCTACATATTATAGATAATGTCTATAGTAGGTATTTGTGCTGATTTCAAGCAACAGTGAGGTTGTCGTTAATCAATCTAACTTTACTAATAAATGTCACCCACTAGCACTATATCCACTGGAAATTACCATATGAGTATGTCATGAATGATTTGTCAAGACAAAAAAAGGAATAAACTCGATTTTGGAGGGTTTCCAGCTGCTCCTTTTTAAATATATTGATTCCTCTCTGTGCACAGGGATTTATGGGTCATTTGTGATAGCAAAATAAAATTTTCTTCTAATCTATGTCTTCCTGAGAATTTATATGTGCTGAAATACCAGACTCCTGGGCAAATTCAATCAGTAGTCACATACATTGGTCTCTTACTTTTATCACGGATCCAAAAGGAATATAATCATGCATTCTATTAAAAACAACCTCTTCTGTTAAGTTTCGTATGTCAAACCACAGCAGTCCAGATTCATCCCTGCTTTCAGTCCTCCGAGGGCAATAAATAAATACCAAGTATAACTGATTTACTATGTTGATTACTACTAATATTCTGTGCTTCCCAAGACAATCCCAATYATATCTGCTAAGGTGGAAATTAACAAAAATCTGAACAGTCCACAGCATGAGAGAAAGAACAAGAATTAGTATTCTTAACTCTAAGCTAATGATCCAAAACAGAGCACTTAATATATTGGCTTAAAGTTGATAAACTTTACAGAAATAATATACCTGGAATCACTTTATATTCTAACTTGAAACCTTCAGAAAACATACATTGAGCTTAATTTTAAATTAAAATTAAATTCTTAAYTTAATTTTAAATTTAATTTAATTTAGAAAAAATAATTTTAAATTAAGAATCTAGACAYTTATTTTAGATTTCCACTGAAAACTTGATATTATTTCAGTGTTAAGCACTGAACACTATTTCTAGTATTGAATGAATACTCTTTGAACTAGGATGCCTGAAGAMCTAAGAACCACTTTTTAAATGGCAAAATTTTTTTGAAGACGACTACAATGATCCGTGTTGTAAAGCAAATAGGTAGCTCCCAGCTGGAGGTTTTCTTCAGGGGATATACTGATTTATTTCCAGTAAATATACTGGATTGTTGCAATCAAACCTGAAAGTCAAGTGTGTGCATTCTTATTTCAATGGTTTCATCAAAAATGCTGAGTTACTCAGAGGTTCTGTTGGGAAGCTGTTTCCCATGTACATAAAGGACAAGAGTGATAAAACAAGAGTGATGGATTTAACGGCTTTGGGTCTCAAAAGCCTAGTAAACATAGAACAAAGCAGTGAAACTACCAGTGAAGCCAAATGGTCAAGGTGCTCCAAAGCTTTAGTTCAGAAATGGATCTTTTCTAATTGCTATTTACACTCAAGTGTTTTATTGCAACAGTCTCACTTGCAGTGAAAGGTTTATAACAAGAATCTGTAGAATGGCTGACGGAGTTTACTGGCCAATGTCTTGTAAATCTGACATCTTCATTAACATCTCAATTGTTTCACGTTTATAACGCACTTCATCTTCACAGAAGAGAGCTTACAACAACAGTWCAAATGCTCACCTATAGCAGCTGTAAAGTACTGCTCAACTTCATTGGCAGTGAGGGCCCTTTCCCATATGATGAATTCATCAAATGCCCCATTCACATAGCGCTTGGCGTGATCCCCCTCTGTCCCAGTCAGTAGATTGGCACTGGGGTCTCCATAGTCATAGAAAACTTTCCCACTTGGATCGGTTGTGTTTAGGGTCCCRTTCACATAGACTTTCAGTCCTTCTCTTGATTTCCAAGTGAAGAGAATGTGTGTCCAATAAGGACCTGCAAAATATTGATAGGCACAGCAAAATCCATGAATCAATTCCATTTAGATTCTTTCCTATTTRCTGCATTTTTTGCTAACTTGTGCAATGCCGTAGAGCTGTATTGAAAGTGCTAACAGTTATGGAACATTTGTATCACATATTAATCTTTCTACGCATGGAAAAGTCCATACTTCAGCAGAATTCCTGTTAGCTTTTGTTTGAACTTCTGTTGGAGCTCACTGACGTTGCATAAATTACAATTGTGCTTGTACTATTAGCCAAGATTTGAAGTCTCTTCAATACTAACTCAAAACTCACTCATTCAGCAAGAACTGCATAAAAACTGCAAGAACAGGCAAATAGATCAACTCAAAGTTGTATGTTTGTTAGAGCTCAGAGACATAAAAAAAATTCATTTTTATTTAGAATTATCTTACTATTTAAGCTTTTACCTTGAAATAACATTTCTAAGCTGATTTATTCAATTGTAAAACTGTGTTCTATRAAGAAAAAAGTCTACTTTCCCAATTTAAAAGTGATTTAATTAAGAGAAGATTTAAGGATTGCCAGTGGCCTTATCAGAATCCAAGAAATTCTTCTAGTCATCAGGTAATACCACTTTCCAGCAGTATACAATTTAGATTCAAGATAAAGGAGATATTTTCCATTCAAAAAAATGTTTCTTAATACCATGCAAGGCATAAAAAAACTTGATATTTAACAGGTAATTAAATTATCAACCCACTGAACACATAGCAAGATATTTATTAAATGAGATTTATATCTGGGACGCCCGATAGCAACAAACATCCAGTTTTAGAATATACCGAGAGCTGTTAGGGATTAATATGTATTCCTCACTCTGCTGCTTCTATGTAAGCACTCATTAATCTCGATGTGATATGGACTCTGTTTAAGGAACATCTGGAATACAGGCCCAAGGATATTTACAGAATGGCATCAATTCACAATTTCTCTCTTCTTGCATCAAGGGAGCTCAGGACTACATCTCTTTTCCCCTGCTTTCTTCCTCTCCCCCAAGTCAACCTCTCTTTACTGAAGTTGTGTCCTTAACATTATATCCCCCTACAATAAAGTCAAATAACAGATAAATGAAGAGAAGTTGACTTTACCTGGTGGACTAAAGCTTGCCTTCCACTTCATCATTGCATTTCCACGGGTATAAAATTCCACAGAGCCTTCCCCTTCATTTGAACAGATTTTGAAACCACTGGAAATGACTTTTCCYCCAGAGGTAGAGGGAAACTTGGCCTGTTGGTCTTGAGTTTTCCAGAAAAAGGAAAACGTGACTCCTGATGGAAGGGAGGGGATTTTTAAATGAAAATAAAAACAAAAGTGCAATTGAAAGATTCCAATGCTGTAGAACACAGAGTGGAAATTCTTTTGAGGAGAGATCATCACATAAACAAGGACAACATTTTTGGAACCAACAACACTCTTAACAGTTTAAACTAAATAAATATTTATTCCTTGGGTTTGCATCACACTGTCACATGCCCAGCACAAAGTAATACCCACTGCTTCCTGAGTAGCTCCTCTCAGTTGAAACTAATGTTCCTGGAGTACCAAAATAATGAAGTTTATGACCTTTAGATATTTCAAAACTCAAACTTTCTTACAACATCTTTGCTTGTGCTTAACAAGTAGCACCCGTTGTTGACTATACTGACCATTTAGACTTCAACCTAAAATGTAAAATTAAAAAGACTATAATGTAAAAGGAAGATACTTTCCTTAGAAAAAGAGTGCTTTTTTTGGCAGAAGGAGGGATATTTTTTAAATTGCTACAGTGATTTAGTRTTCATTGTTTATGATTTTGTCTCTTCACAGTTTATCTGTTGAACATTTCAGTGTTTTATGGGTTTAATGTTCTTGTTTGTGAAGTATTGCAAGAGCTCTGGCTCTATAAAAATAATTTATTCTGATTATGTTATACTGTAGCTGTAGAAGTAGTAGTACTTATGTTTTTTATTTCCCAGTGGTATGGAAAAACTGCTAAAAGATATGTTATGTAAAAGAAAATACGCCCGCAGTAGGATACTCAATTACCTTTTTAATACTTTCAGGTAGTATCTGTGTACCGTCTGATTTTTTTTCTACATTTTTAAAGTGTTAATGCACAATTCTTACTACAGCAGCTCACAATAATTGCTATTTCATATAATGTTACTATTYCTGCTAAGACATCATACTGCAAAACCTAGTGTCCTAAATATGAAAGCTATAGGGTGGCTTACCTCTTTGTTGAGTAGTTGGTTTTCAGTTCTAATTTAAATTGTAGCTAGAAAAGACTAATTTTTCAGCAATTAATACTAAATTATCTCGAAAGATAAGGGGTCAAAAGTTAGAATTTTAGAGAGCTTGTTTCCACTAAGAAATCAATGATTCTCTATTATTTAATGACATAGCTAAACAGCATAATAAAAGCAAATAGTAATGATCAAGCTGACTGACCTTCTGGTCCGCAAACTTCTGGATTACTAATGCAAGAATTTTTGTAGCTCCCAAAGAAGAGAAAGGTAACCCCTTTCTCTTCAGTGACGTAAATTCCTCTGTTCACCATTCCTTCTATAATATCTAAAGAAGGAAAACCAAAATAATTTTTAACATATATATCAATTGAAACTTAATAGAAACATTGTTTTAACATTCATACACTTGATATGCTCATCTGGCCCAACTACGTTGGGACTGTTTGCTTTAAAAAACYGTACAGATTATAGTTCTCATTTCAAGTTTGTAAATTTTTTATACATTTTGTATTTTTAAAAATCATAACATCCCTCATCCAGCTTTTTCTTTACTAAATAAACTGTTTAGCTGAACAAGGCAGCCAAAAAAATCCTCATTATTTCAAAGTAGTTTGAATAAAATTGACACGTTCCAGAATTCTGATTATAGTACATTTCATATAGAYATTTGTCCTACTGTTAAGAATTAGAGATGGTCAAAAAATTCTTCATTGCATTCAAAAAATATAGAGTTTTTGCCCCCCACCCCCMCCCCCCCCMCACACAGTATTTTCCACATTTCTCTTCAAAATGACCAAGGTCAATTTTCATTAAAAAAAACCAGTGAAATACATTTGACTGGCTGTATTCAAGAGGCACTGATGTCCTTTTTAGATATGCTTTGGTAAGTCATCATTATCATTTGGAAAATCTTTTTCTAGCATGTAATTGTCTTGTGCTTTCTGATTGTGATTTTTCTATTGTTTGCTCTTAAAAAAGTTTATCCCCAATATCACTACAAATACTGGACAGTTTTCAGTTATCTTTCTCTTCGAGCAAGGAGTTAAGATCTCTCTCTTTGACAGATCAATTTTAGTTTCTTTAAAAATATTGAGAGCTTAAGTATTACAGACTGAAGTAAAAAAAAACCCTAAATTCTTAGAGTAGCATAAATTCTAGATCAACTGAGCCAGAATCACCTCCACAAGGTAAATGCATTCTTGTTTCTATAGCATTTCCTTTGCCATTGATGTCACACCTTTAATGTTCATTTTGAATTAGCTTATTATGTGAGAAGTATGTAAATGACCTATAAACCAGATAAGTGAGAACTGAAAAGAAGTAGGTCAATTGAAGTTAATTATTAATAGASTTCACATTTGCCAACATGTTTTTACAGTTAGAGAGTTTAAGAACTGTGGTTTTAGTCTTCTAATATAAACCTGGTAGYATCTGAGCAGCCTAAATGACAGTTGTAACATTTTCATCCTTCTCCTTAGGCCAGATTTTCCACAAACTAGATGCGAGTTGATACTCAACTTTAAGGTGGACAACAGGTCAGATTCTGATCGCAACTGCACTTATATAAATCTACAGCAGGCCTAATGACTTAAATTACATTACTCTGAGCTTATGCTGGTGTATTTATAATGTTTCCAATCTGTTATGTTTCTGCCTGGGGAATTGTCATTTTCTCTTCTTCATTTTATCTCCTGGCTTATGTTGACATTTTTAAAAAGTCATCAAAAGAGCACACCTCTATGAGATTTGTGTCTGTTTTTGCTATACGTTAATCAAAGATGTCATGATTGAAGAGCTCTTACAGGCTTGGCAGTATTGGTTGYGTTTGCCTTTCCTAATGAGTCCCTTAAAACGGTCTATAAATTGGCGAAATGGTTTTTCCTTTTAACCTTGATAAAGGTCAGCCTTTTGTTCCTATATATCCCAATGAAATATCAATTTAATTTAAACTTAAGAGAAACATTTTAGGTTTTAGAAAGCCTCTAGTGCCCATCCTTCCATGGAAGGCTGAGTACGAAGACATAGTTCCAACTAATTCAGAGTAATTCAGGTAATGTTGCAGGAGTACTTCTTAATTTATGCCGCTGTAAGCACAAACAGAATTTTAGTATCATCAGTTGAACCAAAACCCAGTTTTAACTTTGAATCCAAAGCACAGGAACCATCCAAGCTTGACAAATGCGGAACAAAAAACAATGTGTAAATCCTCACCTACAGTTGCAGAGAAGTTAGAGTAGGCAGAGTCATTGGTATATACAAAGGTAGAGTTATGGGAAGGAAGCACAGTGAAGTTGTGGATTCTTAGAGCTGGGTGGAACAACAAAAGAAAACAGCAAAACAATGAATAAACACAATCAGTAATGAATTAACCAGTTCATATCTCTCAATATACCACAGATGGCCTTTAAAGCTTTATACAACCACTTCTCATCTAGGACTTGTGGAGGTGTAAATACTGAATCATTTACCTATACTATTTAAGYAGGTACAGTATCATTAAACCCTGTCTTTTCCAACAGGAAGTGCAGAGGAAAAATTCTAAAACAAGACTACTACATTCAATGAAGGRCTCTCATAATTATACCAGTAATAAATTTATGTAATTATWATAAAGATTCTGGTACAAAATCTGTTAGTAATTCAARTCTAAGGACAACTGGAAAACATAARCKCACCTAGGATAGCCTCAGCTTAAAGGCATTTGTTTAGAACTGTTCTATCTACTGCAGTGTTCAAGAACCACTGAATTACTGTTAGARATTCAAATTATTGGGGGCGGGGGATGGCAGAATCATTTTTGGCATTTTAAGAGTATCTTGTATCATAGAGCTATTTATCCTCAGCAGAAAAATCTTTGMAGAATCTGATTCAAAGGCCATGAAAGTAAATAGAGACATAATGATGGATGGGGAATTTAGACCAAGCTAAGATCACAGAATAAAAAAATGCTCAGTATCAGAAAAAAAAAAAGTATCATAAAACCTCAAGACAAAAAACGCATGGAAAAGTAGAGGTCAGATGAAAAACATAATCACGTCTCTGTTTTTTCAATTCATTGTATTTATGTTGATTGTGTCCCTTCTATTGTTCCTACCAGCTTTACTGCTGAGATAACCAAAAAAATAATTTGCTGACACCGACTCTCGCCACACAAATGCATTGAGAGATATAAATCTGGCTTCACACRCAATGACTTCAACAAATAAAATGGATTAACATGACGGACAGATTATGATGCTTCAAGGATTTAAGAGGAGAAATATGGAATGAAAATAATTGCATGACATTATGATGAGTGGAAAAACATCAAGAAAGACTCCAGCAATAAGAGAAGGGCTGTGTAATCAAAATGGTATCAAAACAAGAAAGTTGCTGTCAGCATCAGATTACAACAATAAAGAAAACTTCTCTTGTATTTCAAAGTCGGGTATCAGACAGACATTTAAAACMTCTCTTGTAATTATACCCATGTATAAGGCAAACTATAAGCAAATGAGAACTAAGCATCTGCATTAGTCACTATTCAACATTGTCAGAATTGCACTGCAGAAAAAGACCTTGGATACTGGCACCATCTGCCAGTAGTTAGACAGGGTCCTCCAAACCATTTTTCAGCATTCAGGTCATCGGCTCCTTTATAAATATATTTAACACAATGGCATAAGAGGAGTCAAAGAGGATCGATGAAGGGAATCGGCCCTATTCCTGTAAGAATTTTTGTAGAATCAGCAGCTGTGTATATTCTGCCATAACTCTTTCACGATGCTGAAGTAAGACTTGGGAATTTCACATGYACAACGCCATTTTAATATATTCTTTTAAAATACTCTTTGTAACCTTAATTGTGCAATTATATTTTTTTCTAATAGTGGTATTTTGTGTTTCATGCATTTTTCAAGTATTTAAAGATAACATGTTTCTAAAAAAGTTCCAAAACAGTGCTAGATGGAGTGCTTTACTCCAGCTGAAACTAAGTGCAGTCCACTGCAAGAAAAATTATTTACCATGGTTTTGAAGAAGTCATACAGTAATTTTTTTGTAGGCCAAATTACAATTCTGTTGAAGTCAACTGAAATGCTACCATCAGACTCTAACAGGAATAGAGTATYGCCCTGACTTATTTCTATTTCATTCCATTTCTTTATGAATTTCTATCATTCCTTTCCTTCCTGGAAAATTCCTTTCTTTCCTGGAAATGAGAGTCCAAGTCTACGTTCAAAATACTTGAAATGAGAGATTTTAGCTTTTTATAATATTTTTCCTCACCTATAATGTAATAAATTTATGTGTAATAACTAGCTGTARTTACAATAATACGACTCTCCTGATTACCAACTTCCTTTCAAATTAGTGAGGATCTTAGCTCACCAAGCCTCTCATGATTTAGATAGGTTTGCAAAGTTTTTAAACTTTGTTTACTATTGCTACAATGTTGATTGTAAGTAATCATTCAAGAATAAACATAAATGAGCAATAATGATCAATAAATATTTACATAACAGCTTGTGCTTCTCTTTCTATGGACACTATGCACAATTTTCAAAAGTGTATGTAGAATTTGGGCATATAACTACTTTGAGGGAAAAAAAATATGTATCTTAACTATTGGCACAGCCAAAGATCTGAGTATATTTATGCTTGTTAATGAAAAAATCAACTCGCAGGAATATGATTTTAAAGTAACAATTTATCTATACAATCCCAACAATGCACAGACACCTCAAAGTTTCCAAGAAAGCTATACATTTTAAAAAAAAAAAGATATACTCAACTGTAATGTCATCTGGACATCCAAGCATTACCAAAGCATCAAAAATAAGTCTCAACAGCTGTTGGATAAGAACTAATGCTTTTTTAAATTTCTCCTGTTGCCTTACTACTTACAAACTGCCACAAATACTTATGTTATTGCCATTGTCAACAAATCGTGTGTCTACCTCCATTTGAATCACGAAACTCATGAATTCCATCCACGTATTCCAATGGCCAGTAATGTGAAGCTGATGCCAGAACTTGGAACCCTTTCAAGGAAAAACAGATGAGCAGGTCATTTAAGTAAGGTCCAACACCAAGTRCAACAATTCTTCTCAGAAGAAAACAATAAAGGTGGTCAGTAGGTTAAGTAAAACAAGATATTTTATGTAAATCAAACACTGAACATAAGCAAGGAAGGCAGACTATAAATCAAAAAGATGTATGACTTGAACCTCCTCTGCCAGATTGCCCACTGCAGAGATTCCTTTTTTTCTTTTTTTTTCCCCCTTTTTTTCAACTAACTGCATTTGAAATGTACAGTTATCTCTGATCAAATCTCTGCCAGGGTATCAGGCAGCAGTTRAGGATCTTGTGCAATAACTGTAGGATTCTAATAGATGCAACACAGCAACTCCGACACACACAGAAGGGCTTCTGTGCTTCTCTAGCATACTTGGTCTGCGCCACCTTCATGTAGAGACCTCTTCTTAGAGGACTCAGCTCTAGAATTCCAGGGAATAGGAGAAGATGCTAGTAAATTCTTGGGAGTCTTATATTCTCAAAATGCACAGGGGAAACCATATAATCAGAAGGTATTGTATTAATCTGAGCACTTTTTAACCCCTTTCTCTAAGGGACATGCTAGTTAGGCTAGTGATACCCAAGAACAGAAGACCTGTGATGTGAGTGAGAGCGTGTCTTAATCATTGCTGCACAAGCCTCAAGTCCTCTCATCTTAGCATTTTATAGGAGAACTAAACCCTATAATGAAAGGATTTTCCATGTTTCTCRAGAGACAAGGTTCCAATATTAAGCTATATATGAAAAGAGTTCACTACTCTGCRTTAGCTACTTGTTCAGAATCTTATTCCCTACATCAAAAGCTATGCAACTAATGAGAACATTTTGTTTTTTTCTCAATGTCCTCCTCAGCACCAGGTGGACAAGCTGACAAACGCAGAAAATCTGATAGATCTGATAAGTCTGCCCACTAGCACATTTATCTCCCCAGCCTAATTGACAGAATTTAGAAAAGATTTCAGGGAGATATGACTTTTCAAACCTGAGCAGAAGCAGGCTACCCAAAGCAATTAAATTTTATGTTAAGATAACAATTCTATTTAAGGGTATATCATTAATAATGTAATAAACTAAGAGCTGTATTTCATATCATCTTGTTAGATGCAAGAAACCCTTTATTCCCAAAATTAATTTAACCCACTGTGCTGGAAGAAACTGAATAGGTGCCTATATCAATGATTTTAGAAGGTTGACACAGACATAAATATTATAGTGATTGCAAATGAGAATGTTTTTCAAATTAAAACAAAGTACTAAGTAATGTTCCYTGATACTGACAGCCTATCCCACACTTCTCCATATCCTCAAGAGAAATCAAAAACTATTTGCCTATTTGATAACCATTCCAGTGTCACAGACTAAACATTTGCACTGAACTTAGAGGAGTTAAGTTTTCTTTACATCCTTGAACTCTCTATCCCAAGGTGTCCTGATCTCTTCTGCTGTCTGGTGTCATCTCAGAGCTGTGACAAAGCAGCCTAAGATCCTCTGAATAAGAGAACAGAACTGATCAAGCTGCTAAGCATCACAATAAACAATTGCAGATATGAGAGCACAGAACTAAAAGAAGGCGTGCATCTCCTGAGGATACACAACCTACTCAAACATCCTTCCAAACTGAACTATATCCAAGGATAGCTGACAAATGAATCATAATTGACCAGAATATGTTAYTGGCCTCCCTAACCAGGAATGTTTGCAGTTGCCAGAGAGGTTCTCCCACAGAAGGGGAACATGACAGTAAATAAATGAGAAAGGTCTGGTCAGAGACATGGATGAGCTCCTGTGGTTACATGTGCTCTGCGTGCTTGGAAAATACAGAAAAAGGTACAACCGCTCACTAAAGGAGAAAGCACTTGTAAGTTAAGAAAAAACACCACCACACAGACAAAACTCAATCTGAAAATCCCAGGGAATCCAAACTGCACTAACCTGAGCATGGCAAATATAAAGGCAAATAGGGCATAGGTACAAGAAGTTGATTTCCATTTAGGCAAAGTAAATCTCGTTATGTGCTCAGTTCTATTTTTCCAAGACCATACGCTGGCAGAAGTGGAAGTGAAGAATTTCTCCCACATTAAGAACATCCACATAGACAACCTGTGCTAGCACAGCTCCATCTCAGACTACCGGCTCTATTTTGCTAAGCACATAACATGCCTGTAGTTTTGCAGTGTGCTTTTATGCAAATATCTCTTGCTTCCAATAATATCTTTCATGTTAAAATTTACRGAGACTTGATAAAAAAGTAGTAAAATAGAGAGCAGAAAAAAACCAGAAAGATCTAGACACAAAATAAATTGAAGCAATGACATGACACAAACACTCTTAGTTATAGTTCTGTTCCCACAAAGGCTTTTATGCCTTGATGCACTTGGTATCAGATAAGAACCTAGAGAGAAGTTGTATTTTAAGGTGCTTATATTTAAAAGCTGATGGGAGGGTTTAAAAATGAAAAACAAATAGAAAAGAGAGAATGAGAAACAAAATACAGGTACAGCAGAGGAGTGAATTGCTTACTGCTGCACTGCATGGAAACTGGCTTCCTAGATCCCAATCTGAACTATATAAAACAAATCATGCTGCCATCTGCCATCCCACTTACAGTATAGTCCTAAAACCATGGTGGGGGACAGGGAAAGGAGACCTAATGACTTGAATTCAACTTCTATTTACAATATTCTTTCAGTAAGTAACTCTCTTAAGAATCACGGCACTTGTTTACTACCCAGTTTGATCTAAAAGGATCGCTCATAGTTGTGTTCTCATGTATGTGTAAGTGCTGTACAACTTGCCTCCTTATGGAGTGTGGCAGGATTTTTCCTTTATTCTGTCACCAATTAAGAGACAGTGATCCTAATTTATTTCCAGACTGTATTTTCATTGTTTTCAAGTGAAGGCAGGACAAAAGAAGGTAACRTGGCTAAAGACACACCAATAGCCAACAGCATGGCTTTTCCTCAGCATGCTGCATTTGGTTACAACAATCATTATATATGGTTAAAACTTCAAAACGAAGCAACATGTAAAGTGGCAAAACAGTAAAATTGTGCTTGTACACCACCATGAGGCTTGAGGTTAAACTATTTATACAAGCACAAGAATTCTGCAGTTATACASAGAGCTCAAAGGCGCTTTGAGGGAGTTTTTCTGCACTGAAAACAGATGAGAGCCCCAATATGCTCTRTGATTGATTTAAACTTAAGTAAGAAGGCTGGGGGCAGGGTGGATGTCCTGAAGCCAGCTCAAGTACTGGAAAGCATACAAACCGTAAATATTTAATGGCAAATCAATGAATTTAAAGTGCTGAACACTATGAAATTGTGGCAGAAACTCATCTGCGTAGAAGTCTGATTTGGAGAACTCATATACAATGATCAATTAGTAGTACTTTCTGAGTTTTTCCTATACAAATACCAGCAGGTTTTCCTCCACTCATTTTTATGTGAATATTTAGTAGCAAAAATTACTTCAATGAGTTTTAATTGTCTGACACATATACCAGTCCCATACTGAAAATATAATAAAATCTGAAGCAACYGCTGTTTCTTTGGAGCCAAGAAAAACAATGAAATATACAGTCCCAAATGAAAATAAATAAAGATACTGTCATAAAATATAACTAGAACATTTCTTACCTGGGTGCTTGGGAAGCTGGGACGAGTTTCCACACACCTGCACATAAAACATTACATAATCAGACAGCGTGAAGTAAAATTTGCTAAGAGTAATCCAAATAGATCTCAATGCTAGTCATATTCAGAATATTACCTGATACTTGGACTGCAATAAAATCAACAAAAAATAATGACAACAGAGTATAGATAATAATTTCTTCATGATATTTTTAAGGTTAAAAGTACAACAGAGATCAAATTCCTGCAGTGTTTCAGTCATAAGTTTCCCTTTGCTCCTTTTTGTTTTAAAAGGGACATTTTCCACGCAGGTTCAAAAAGTCTGTTCCTTTAGCAATGCCAAAATATTCTTCCAGAATCTTTCAGTAACATCCACTTTCTTCACACTTTGATCTCTTCATTTGTCCATAAATAAATTATCATGATTGRAGCAAAAATCATAAGAAACATGCACCAGATCCAAAAATCGTACTKTTCCACAGAAAGAAGTCAAATTCCTGTCAAACTATGCCAAACAAAAGACTGCTTTCAACTTTCTCTAGTGGTCTCTCTCTCTCGTGGTTTCCTTCCTTCACGTTGTCAGGGATCTGAAGCCAGCTTTGGTTTTGCTAGTAAGAAAGTGCACTTCCTTGTAGCGCGCGGGGCGTAGAGCTCTTTCCCATTTCCTCAGTAACTGCACTAAAATGACTTGTTAACTCCTCGCTCGCTCGTCCAGCTCATGTTTGCAGCTCCATCTCGCACCTCCTTGGGTGGAGAGCAAGTCCGAGTGATGTCACGCTTTCTCCTCCAACTTTGTCCCATTCTGGTACTCTATTTATATCCTGTTGCTGCCGTCTCTTTGCAGGGTCCTGACAGSAGCCAGCTCGGAGCAAGTGGAAACAAATCAACGTGGTTCAGCAAACAGGCGGGGGAGATTGCTGTGCTTAGCAAGCTGCGTGCGGAGGAGAGAAATAGAGCTGGGACCAGTGCTCCTACTGCAGTTTCATAGCAACAATAGGACAGCTTAAGGGGGAAGTTTTCGAAGATCTGAAATATTTTTTCTAACATTTTTACTAAAAACRTGGGAATGAGAAATCACAATGAAGCTCAAAAGTGCAAAAAATAAAAGAATTGGTAGAAATYGGTAGAGTTCGGGTGTCCCTTGCAGTGAGCAACTAGCTACCTATAAAGTAGATTACAACCAAGTGAAACAGCAAGCAGCGTTTCCATCTACTCCAACCCTACTAGCTAATAATGAGGAAAACACTAGAAGAGATACACAAACATAACCTATCAGCATAGAAGTCCTCTAGCCCATTCTATCCTGCCTCTTTTATTCATCATTTCTTCAGTTTAGGAATATATCAATCAATTAGATCGTGTTTTCAGCCCCAGATGCTTACTCAAGCAGCAGAACATTCTCTATCTGAAATCCATGAACACACAAGATGCTGATATACAGAAAAATATAGCATGTTTCCATGCTCGCCACTGACCATCCATGACTATCTCCAACTCTTAAGTATTTTTAAGTTATCCTTCCCTCCCTTACTTTCTGATTTGTAGCTCTTAGCCCCATTCCTTCAAGATCCTTTATATTTACCTGGTCCTTTCCTGAGATCTGTTCTTCCCAAGATATTAACCTTCTTTCCTACTTCTTTTCTTCTTAATCATGGCTTTTTTCAGTACCAGGCTCTTGGCTAGAATGGAGTATTGCTTTTGATGAAAAAAATTTCCACTGACACTCTAAGCAGTTTACATAGCAAGAAGGTCGGTAGGTTTACCTAGTGATCACATCCCGATTTACCCAGGTGGCCTCTCAAACACATACTGAACATCTGTAGTGCCTGAAGGTATCCCAATCCATGCATACAACTGCAAAGTAAGGGGGACTTTGGGACTCCAAGCACCAAAGAGAACATTCAAGTTAGAAAGCAGCAGGATATTCATGAGGCATGAATACTACAATATTACAAAAATGAATTATCGGAGAAGTTCAATAGTAGAAGAAAATGAGCATTTGGGTTGTAACTAATTTTGGATGTACATTACAAAATAACTGAGAACTTCAAAATTTTCCAGGACCTGAAATTCAGTTTCCTGCTTAATTATAACCAGTCTCGCTTCTGCTTCTTCTCCAAGTTCTGCTAATCTCCTTTCACTGCCATGGTTAGCCAGAAATATGCCTCTAATCTGAATGGAAGAAATCCGTGCAAGCCCATGAGTTCTGCATCATACCCTATCAGGTAGGGCCATCTTAGAAATATTGAAGCACTGCAGCACAAAACCATGAGAAAAGCTAAAACTTACAAAGAGAAATGCAGGAATTTGAAATATTTGCCAAGGAGGTCTGTCAAGAGAAAGAATACACTTACCAAAACAATTGCAATAATCCAAGCAAACATGCTCGCTGCCAGAATTTTTTTGTGGAGACAGTAAATTGCAAGCAGATAGAGATTCCTCGCAGAACCAAAAAATTGCATTTTTGTGATTTGCTAGAAATCCATCTGAAAAGTTGCACCGCTCCCACCACATACCAGAGGTAGCATAGGGAATCTTGCACACACRCCACATCACCCAAGCCAGCCCTTGGAAGACAAGCTATTAAATTCCTCTTGAAGAACCTGCAGATGTGTTCACGCAGCATGTAGATGAAATGCCTTTAAAGTACTTGCCCATCACTAAGAGCTCCAAGTTTAAATCTGGGGATCCATACGATCCAGAACAGAGAAAAAGGGGATGTTAGTGGTTGYTGGGAACCTCCTACCCAGATGCCAGCAACAACAAAGTTAAACAAAGTAAGGATAAATTTTTCTGACATAAGTGAGAGATTTTGACCAGTTGCAATATCCCCATAGAAGGAAATAACCAGAAGATTTGCATTTTTTTTTCCCCTAAGATCTCATTGGGATAGTAAGTCCACGCATGAGAACTTAGTGCAGAATTAGGACGGAGGAATTTTTAAACAGTATCCAGCTAGTTAGTTACTGATACTGCAATAAATGCTCTAGATTTTTTAATTTAAAAATTGATACTACCCTTGTTAGGATACAGAAGAGGGATAGACATTTTACTTGCATGAAAAAGAGTTCTAAACATCTGTATTAGCGGGATAAGTGATAGAGAAATTCTTGCTAGAGTGCATCTTCTCCTGAGGCTGAGATCATCAAGGATGCAAGCAGGCTGCTAGGTCAGAAGATACCCGAGCTGATGGAGCCAGCTCAAGAGGAGCACAGCCCGTTGACCCTGGCAGGGATTGCCCGCACAAGAACCACTCTTGATGAGACTCGAGTGCTTCCCGGAGCAGCAAAGCACCAGAAAGCTACCAGTGCAGCCAGTCTGTGGCAGTACAGGTAGGAAGAGACATTCAGGCAAAAACAAGCAGGAAAGTAGACTGCRTTAGGAAAATATCACATGATATTTCCTTTGAGCCAGTTACGCCAAAAAGGACAATAGAACTGTTTGCTTTGAGGAACAAACTAACAAACCTTGGAGTGAATCACAAGGCCAATGCTCTCATGCAAAAATATTTTTCTAATTAAGAAAATGTGAAGTTGCTGAGGTGGTGCCAGAAAACAAGATAGTTTTTTTTGGCAATAAAATTTAGAATTGGATGGATACTTATACCATGCTACAGTTGCAAAATTAGACTAATTTATCTGTAAATTCTTAACGAAAATATTAAGAGGTTGATTCAAATACCAAGCAAATAGATAAATATTATACAATAATTAAAAGGCATACAATGCATCAAAGCTTTTTTGGTCCCACTTACTGAACAGTTATGGGATTAACAGTTATATTCCTGTTTTCTATTGAATGTCGTTACTTGGCTTTTTGGATTATAGTATTGCCTTAAGCGTCTTACTCTGGACACTGACAAAAGGTTTTTTTGCTTGTTTGGGTTTTTCCCTCCCTCTGCCTCAAAAATTGTCTAGGCATCTGCAAATGCTAGATAGCTGTAAAAAATAAGATTCATTTAATTGAACCTTTGATAACCTGCTTAGCAACAGAACACCAAGCTTATGTAAGATTGGTTCAACTCAATTTTTTTAAAAGCGTCAAATTTTAGTATACAAATAAGCAAGACTTATTTGCCAAAAAAGTTACTGCCTATATTTATGAGCATTAATCAGATAGGCACCCTTTTTAAATGGATCACTTATTTCACAGTGATGAGGTTTTGCCTTGAAACTTGTTGCCAAATTCTTTCATGCCTTTTCTCTCAGGCCGTTCTGAGGSAATGCAGCTCGTGAAAGTTTAATTCAACTGCTTTGTGAAATAAGGTTACCATTCAGTCCAGCACAAATGGAGTACACACCCAGGAGCTGGTTTGCAAGTTGTTTCTCAGCAAGAACATCTGAGCCCATTATAGACGCTATTAAAGACTTTATAGGGAATAACTAAATTAAGACTACAGCAGACAGATAATGCATATAAAACAACAGCAAAAGCTTTCTCCGAGATGAGATTAGTGCAGCAGCGATGCCTTATCTAGGTCCAAAGCAATGTATTGGAACTATACTTAGTGCACTTGCTGCTTAAAATGCTACTTCAAAGGATTTCTGCTTCCTTGAATGATCTGAGTTATCGATTGCATGTTTCTGCATGCTGCAGAAAAACAAACTACAGTGAAATCAATCATTMCAAATGTGTGATTTTTCGATATGTAAACAGATACGCAAGACCAAAATATTCWTCCTATCTARACAGCTTGCTAATCTCAGTGAWCTCCGCAGCCTGCCTAAATCACAGTGTCATTTTAAGATGTCGCTTAACACCTGATGAAGACTCATATGASCTCTTCCAGATCTCTTCTAATTAATCATTAAAACATTGGTTTCTCAACATGTTAAATGCATCCCTTCTTTCTCTTGGGGTCTATGTCTTTTAGCATGTGCAAACCTCCAGCTAGGATAGAGAACAAGAAACCRAGCAAACCCAAAAACACCTACCAGGTCAATGTTCACAGCTGCTTCTTCTTCACTTACAATTCTAAATTCCGTTGTCACAAACCAATGCACATGGAAGTGACATTCCAGGTGTGAACATTTAACTTAAATACATATGCTATGTATTTAGAAGTAGGATCTATCCCATGTTCAGAGCAGATCAAAGTCCTCTGCTAGCAGTAAGCTGCTAGCAAGTATCCACATAGAGTATAAGAGCAACTAAAATACAAAGGCACTTAAGTATAGTTAAACCAGGTAGTCTCTTCCAGTTTTAGACAAGCAGGAAAGTAGTTTAGACTTATGCTTATGATTTTTTTAATCCCCAAATTGCTGAAGTATAGGACAAAAATGATAGAGTATGACAGCATTAACTTTTTCATACTGAAAACATTAGGGTGRCAAGGAACCTTTGTGTAATTCATTTTCTTGGTCTATTTCAGTCTTAGCAGACTTAATTTATGAGGAAGAAATAACCCTATGAAAAATTGCAACTACATTTAGCTTATTTTTCAAAGGACAGAATTAACGCACAAAGAACACAATCCTTATCTACTCTTTAAGCTTACACACGCTGCTGCTTTTGCACTTCTCTGGTCCTGGCAGATAAACGTCTCAAGCAGCAGTTTTACAGTGGGCTTTCACAACTTAAGTGTAAGCACTTGCTATTGTTAATAAACATAGGAGCAGCCCGATGATTGTTTCTTCTAGAACACACGCTGCTTGTGCAACCCCAACAGGTATTTTTGTTAAATGGAGTGCACTTGAAAGCAATTCCATAGAGAGCGTACCCCATCATGTGGCTGAAACTGGAAGCACAAAAGCAGTTGCTATTCCTTCTCTTTCCTAGGAGAGGCCACTGCCACGCAGACCTGGAATTAAGTTCTCCTCCTTGGATGCTATGTAATCCAGGTGTAAATAGCTAGCTAGAAAAGGGKTTTTTTTAAAAGCTATATCAGACCTGCTGCTCATACAGTGAGCTAAGCTGTTCTTTAGTCAGGCTCAAACCTCCTACCAAGCAGTGTCTTCTGCACCTCTGCCTGCAGACTCAGGCAGTGTACTCAATTATAGTTTGAAACAGTTTTGCAATTAGATCTTCAATTTGGCACTCAAAGCAAAGCATCTGAAACCAAATAAAAAGATTACAAATGTAAAAATCAAGTGATAACTCATAAGTAACAAAAGGTAAGATGATTTGKTAAATTTAATTACAACTCATCTTTCTTTATTTGTAAATTTATCTCTGAATACCAGCACTGCAAACAAAATGAGAAAAATGAAAGTTAAAAAAGTACCATATAAGCCATTAAGAAGAAAAGATGGCTTTTCATTTTTTCACTGTAAGCAAGACACATTTCATGTCTCATCCTGACTTCTCACAAGTACTCAGGTACACCAATTGCCACTTGCTCAYGGAGCAACAAGCCTGAAGTAGCTGCAATAGGAGCTGGTTAATAGGATGTAATTCAACTAGGAAATCAGATAAGACCGACTTGTGAATARTAAGTCTTGTAATTAAAGTGATCTCAAAGGATGCAAGAACCATTCATGTTAGTCACTTGTTTCTATTTTTAGCTTACAGCTTTACATTAAAACCTTAAATGACAAGAGCTGTATYGGAGCCCAATTCCCATTTTTATGATTTATTAAGATGATGACAAGAAAAAGGACACAGCTACCATGAAAATTTTCTTCCTGAGTAGTAGYTTTGCATTGATCCAAACTTTTTTTAAAAAAATGATTATGAGATTCTCACTTTTCCAACAGTTATTTCATGTATGCTGGTCTCATTCTTCATTCTAGCTGCCACTTAACACCAACCAGCCACAATCTTTTCATTTACCCAAGGCCAGATCTGTAACTAAGCAAAAATTTAGGACCTACATTAGGTCCTTGGTATAAAGGACACATACTCCATGTTTAAACACTTAGGGCTATTAAATAACCAAATACTTATTCAGATTAATCAAAGACTATGATGTGGTTCATCAATCTCATATCTGTTAAACGGCTGTAACATTAAGCCATCCTTTCAAGCATAAAGCTTTTCCACTTTAGCTTTCCACGACTTATCAGTCAGCCAAGTTCACTCWGAAGCAGACAAAACATGGGTTTTTTGCCCCTTTGCTGAGAGGGGYGTGTTCGGTGCCAAAGGGACAGTTAGGAAGAAGCCAAATGGTGCCAATCTCCCAAGTCACCACAGCTGTTTCTCACATATCACTTTTTGATTGCCAGAGATTGCCAGTCTTAGATTATGAAAGCCACYAAACTGGGACAGCAAAGACATTCAGGATCTTCCAGTTTTAGACTGAAATTATTCTACTAATACTGGGGGGTATTTAGTCAAGTCTAATTTGKCTAATGATTTTGACTATTTGTAGAGACAATAAAAAAGTTTCAGAAAGCATGCAATGAAAGACACCCTCATGGGAAATTTATATACTAGTTTGTGACWAATGGGRAAAAAAAGAAAAAAACAACCCCAAAACAGCCCTAAATACAACTCCTGCAACAGCACAGGAAAGTCAACTTATAAAGCACCCATTTAAARGCCAAAGGCAGATTTAGCTTCTCACAGCTGTTTTACAGGCAGCTGTACCAGTCCTGCTGTAGATAAGGCCATGAAGTCCCTATTTAACTGTTGCCAAAATCCAAGAAAGAGAAGAGCGACAAGTACTAGCAGTTCAAGGGCAGGAAAGCCATTGATTTCAACCAAGTTGTTTGCACATTAGGAATGGGAAGGCAGGAGAGAAGTTTGTGTCAGCACCTGGGTTTCCAGCAGTTTAGGTGAAAACTAACAACAGCACAAAGGCAAGGGACCACAATYGACAAGAGGTGGGACTATGTTTTGTTGTGATGTAATTTATTGTCTTAGTGACAGATTTTGACCCTCCTGCTGTAAGGAGCTTCAGCTGCCGCAGATTAAGTGGCATATTTTAACTAAAACATAAAACTTATAAAACTTAAAGGTTTTATTCTTTTCCTCCTGCTAGAGATTTCCAACAGAAAGTCTCCARAGATCTACCAAGAACAAACTTATTTTTCTTAAATGGAGCGTTAAAGCCTTCTGTAAGAGGCAGAAGAAATAATGCACGCTTACAAATGAGCAGTATTTCCTCTAMCACTTTCTTCAGCTAACATCTTGACCTCACGTTCAGGTTTGCGCACACCCCACCAGCTCCTCCGTTGCTTTTCCAATGTAAGCCTCTACACTCACATACCTGAGGCCTCAGGGCTTCCTCACGGAACCAGCAGCAGCCATCACCAACACCTCTTCTTGCAGAAACAGGAGGAATGTCTCTAGTGAGACGTTACCGGAGAACTGCGTGAAATGGAACTCAGGCAGGCCCCCCAGTCAAGGGGRTATAGAGACCATTGTATCTGTACACCTGTATCCTGACACAACCACACACATCCAGCAGTCAAAACTCCRCAACAGAGTCAGCATTGCAAGCATGAAGGGATGAGGTCTCAAGTTTCCTCTCAATAATGGCAGYACTCAAATACAAACTGATGGGACTATGGGGTATGGAGGGTTGGAACATTGCTTTCCTCATTATTTAACCAGATTTAAAGAAACTACTCATTTTCTGGAGTTGAATCTTTTAAGTATTACAGTTAGTTAAATACAGCTGAAATGAAYTTACACATGTGCCAACTAAGACAACTTGCACTGTTTATAATCAACAGCTTATAATTRCTTATAATCAACTCTGGATATGACAAACTCAGTTTAGAGCTGCAAACTAATGGACTTAAATCTCATCCCCAAAACATCAAGTCTGAAGACTACACTACAGCAGACCAGGTATTACATCAGAGTAACCTTTTGTAGACTTGGAATAATTAAAGGCTATGAAGCAAAAACCTCTCTACCGCAGGCAAGCTGTAGATGCCACACCACACATGCACACACTGCAACAGGAACACACAGGCACATTTTCTTCTCCTTCCTTTTTAAGTGTACAGATTGAAGGATAATTCTGTAGTGTTTGTACTTTTAGAGCAATCTCATCAATAGGACAGTTTAAAGAAGCTACTGCACTTAGTAAAGCAGCAGCAGATAATCAAGCTAGCAGCATTAGCCAATGTATGCAAAGTTAGTGGCTACGCAGAGGAACCCACAATACAAAGTTCAAGCAAAGTAATGCAGCAGGAAGATTTGGTTCTCCAGGTGGGAGTCAGTCTTTCTGACTATGCAGCAAATAAAAGCATGAGACACTCCTCTTATCAGTTTCACATTCTAAATACCACACATCAACTTAGCACTAACTAGTTAAGCATTGCAGAACTTAACTTGCCCTGGAGAAGCTTGACTCCTTTACAAAGTGTTTAATGAATAGTCTTTTATAGTAAACTGTCTCTTGCAACCATGCATCAGAACAGTTCAATCAGGTTATTTAGGAAATAATCCAAGTAGCAGGAGTCACATACGCAAACATGCAAATTAAGAGGAATAAATGAAATGCTTCACTTTATTAAGAAACCAAAAATACAAAACTGAAGAGTTCAAGGCTTCATATACTCAAACACTACCGAAAAATGGAATCTTAAACTTATATTGTTTACTAGCAGTGCTAATATTGACCAAGATTAATTTCTACAAGATAGTGTTAAAAGTTGACATTTCCCACCATTTGTGCTGTAATAAGCTAGAGTTTCAAATTAAGAACTTGGTGCAGTTACAGTAAAGTCTTGATATTTATACAAGTGTGGTTTTAGCTGATATGCTGTTTTGTAGCCAAGATCTTTTTAGCTCAACTACAACTTTCTCTAGTTAGTGAGTTTTAAGATGAGTAGAATTTGTTTCTTCAGCTACAGCTCTACTGAATGGCATTCCATGCAAAGATACTGCTTTTACATCACTTAAGAGACTTAGATACTGTTTCAGGCTAATAAAATACAGAGCTCTCAAGGCAGGTTGTAGAACACACTGCAGGTTATATTTTAGAGAATATATTTAAGGTAGCATATGCAAGCTGAACTACTCAGGGAACCCTGCAGACTACATAAACGTGCCCATTCATATGGGACAGTTTATGCTGACTTGTTGATTCAGTCACACTTACCAATCAACCATTCACTGCTTGAGCTTTACCTGACAGTTAGTTCAGCTCTCCTCAGGTGCGAAGTTACAGGCTCCAGGAAGTAAAGGGAATGGGTTAACTGAGCTCTGATTTGTTAGAGCAGCATAAGGGAGGGGAGAAGGTTTGTAAAAGAGGAAAGGAGACAGACAGACAATGAAGTATTAGCTTCAACTGAAGAACAGAAGACACTTTTGGAATAATTATTCCTAACAATGCATGAAAGTTCACTTGCTTAGAGATATTTGAAATACAACTTTATTATCTAAACAAAAAAAGAATGGGAATGACAGAAACAAGATTTACCACTTAATACTCTGATGTGACTGCAGCAGTCTTATATTTGAAACTCAAAGGGGAATTAATTGCAGTCCAAAAAACAGCTAAATATGCAGGTCCAAAATATGAAGATTTTTTTTTTTTTTTAAACTGCCACATTCACTCCGAAGCCCATTCATCTCTTTCAGCATCCCAAAGATTAAGCACATGTTCTGCTCAGCTAGATAATAAAGTGGCAAACACGCTGCACCACTGACATCACAGGACAGTTGCCTATAAAACTAGACTTCTGACGCTGGGCTCCAGCTTCATCCCTCACAGGTCATCATCTTCATCTGGCAGTGCAGTGGTTTGAGCAATCTGAAAGAAAAAAAGCTACACTTCAGAACTGTTCTTCACCTGCTTGCCCCACAGATCCAAGTATCAAACAAACAGGCAATCATTTTGTGTTTGTGCCCTTTCTTAGCTACCTGTAAGTCTTGCTCATACTGTGCTGCCAGTGCTGGGTCCATAACAACTTCTGGGGGTGCAAGAGCAGGCATGGCAACAAACTCCAAGTTAGGATCTCCAATTAGCTTTCTAGCAAGCCAGAGGAAAGGCTTCTCAAAGTTGTAGTTACTCTTAGCTGAAATGTCATAATACTGCAAAGACAATGTATATATTAGACACATACAAAAACTCATTTTTCAGCAATTCAAAGACTGCTAAAACAAATATGTTCTCGATCAGCTCCATTGTTACTTTCCACTCATTCAGGGCATGATTTTCATCTACATTCTCAAACAGTTAAGATCCCAAGGTCTAGAAACTTAGTTTTAGGTGAATAATTACTGTATACTGTGTATCTAATGTGACCAAGCATGAGACAAAGCATCTACTTTATTTTCCATGCAATTTGCTTACTTGGAAGGGTCTCCCTTCTGCAAAACCTGATGAGACTCTGAACAGTAAGAGCCAAGTGCATATAAACTCTTTAATCTCTTATCACAGCTCCTCTTCAAGGCTATGAGTGATAATTCTCAACAAGATYGCTACCCTCTTCCCCAAAGTTAGGTTTAAGAAGCAAACAGGATGTAAAGTTGAAATACTGTAACTCACAGAAAAATATGAAACACAAACATTACTAGATTACTGCATAGAACCCAMATATAGTTTGAAGTTTAATAATATGAAGTTCTAGAAATTTATGCCATCATACCTGGAGATTCTTCTTCCTATGGAAGACAATGGATTTTGCCTTGACTTTTCTGTCCTTAATATCCACTTTGTTGCCACACAACACTATTGGGATATTTTCACATACTCGTACCAGATCTCTATGCCAATTAGGTACATTCTTGTAAGTAACTCTTGATGTTACATCAAACATTATGATGGCACACTGAGCTGCAACAAAAGAGCAATTAATTGACACCAATGCAGTAAGAACTCACTATCCTATCAAGCAAGGTAAGTATAGAAATACCATATCACATTACAGTGTCTGCCTTAATGTTTCCTCTCAGCATATGTTTTGAGCAGCTATCTTCTGTATAGAAGTGCACCAAATTCAGCCCATGACCACATGCCATCTCTAGCATCCAATCCTAAACACTAGCTAGCTTTATTCAATCCAAGTGTCCTATTGAAGAGGACAGTGTTGCATGAAGTTGGAATACACTAGCATCACAAACATCAACTTTGATTTACCTAAATATTTGACAGAAACTAGTTAACACCTATTTAACTGATATCAGACATCTTTCCAGATTGTCCAGTGAGTTGAGAGGTTGTAGTCTACATGTTAAATGCCCCATTCCAAAAAGTTTTTCCAAGAATACAGGTGCTTGACTTGATACTGCTTTTCTTTAGAAATTACTGCAAAGTCAAACTAATAAGCCCTTGCAGCATCTCAAGTATAGACACAATACCACCTGGTCAAGGAAATCAGAGAAAGTACTTCTTTAGAAGGACAAAGGCGCTCAGGTGAGGAAAGTTAACAGTTTTGTTCCTGTCAGTATTCTTGAAAAGTTTAATTTCATTATTAAACCTGGAATGTTACAGTTGGTGTTGCAGATCCTTGCTCCAGCACATTAAAGTAACAGAGGTACGTTCATACAGACTGAAGTATATAAATTTAATGATCAGCTTTTTTTTGAGTGCATTGCTACTCTTTATTAATACTCAGGGCTACACTAGCATACTGATGCCATATCTGCTTAGATTATTCCTACTTTAAGACTAGTTGCCCAAAGACACTGAGACTGTACTAAGGTTCCACAAACCCAGAAGCCAGGCTCACATCTGTAACTTCTCTTGAAAGTTTTCAAAGGAGCTAACRCTACTGCAGAAAGTCTCCAGAAGGATTACAGAAGGTGCAGGGTATTCTTACAACTACATACATCTTACCTTGAATGTAATAGCCATCTCGCAGGCCACCAAATTTCTCCTGGCCAGCTGTGTCCCATACATTAAATTTAATGGGACCTCTGTTGGTATGGAACACCAGAGGATGAACTTCAACACCCAGTGTTGCTGTAATGAAAAAAAAGCAATGTTTTCCTTAGCAACTTGTGAATTCCACTCCTAGTTGTAACATATTAAATCTCAGATACTACTGCAGACATACCTACATACTTCTTTTCAAATTCACCAGTCAAATGACGTTTCACAAACGTTGTTTTGCCAGTACCACCATCACCAACCAGGACAAGCTGTTGGCAGATAAGACAGGTAAGTCAGGGCATTAAACTTCTAGAAAAGCTTATCACTGCTTTCAGCATAAATACTAAGTGCTAACAGAGAAGCCTCAGTCCTATAAAATGCTGTTTAAAAAATGACTGAAAATGCCTAAGGAGCAACTCAAGGTAGTAGGACCTGAACTAAACCTATCATTTTATAACTCTAGACAAGTTTTTTAGTTCGTATAGCTGAAGACCAAAAAATACTGTAAATGTTTCTGCTGAACTGCAAATGAATGAATTCAGAACACTTCAGTTATTCAACCCAAAAATGGCAATATTTCAAGAGACAAAAAAGTACTTTAGGTAGAGAAATTCAATACAACTTGACAATTAGGAAAGCTACACTACAGAAAATTGTAAGAGAGGCATCTTGTTCATTATCCAAACACTGTAGTAAGTCTAATTAACAAATAATGCTTCGTGAAGGGRGCCTTAAGAACTTTTGAGTATTTATTAAAGACAACCAAAAAACACTGCAAGTTACACTTTTTAACCTTTTCCCATGTTTTTAATGGTGCTTAAAGTGTTTTAAGRCTTTTTCCCTCCTTGTTACTAACTACAAAGCTCAATTTTGACATAACTCCCAATCAAGACACAGCCAAAGTACCATTCAACATCATTAAACTACAAGTGGCAGCACACTGATGATGCAAGCATCACAATACAAGCTTTTTTAATAAACCTGTGTTTTAATAATAACCTGCTTTTTTAATAATAACCACAATAACCTGCGTGCACCCTTAAAGATGAGCCAGTAATTCAAAACTAAACCTCCCTCCCAAGAAGCAGGAGTCGCACATGCTACTTTTCTAATGAATGAAAAAAAATACATACGTGTAAAAAACACATAGCTGCTTACCTTAAACTGCACTTGGGGCTCTCCTTGGGCGGCCATGCTGGGTCTGCAGGGGAAATGGAAGCATGTGAGCTCACAACAGGCAGGCTGCTTCAAGGCCCTGCCGGAAGGGGCTGGGCGCCCTTTTCAGCTCCCGAATGGCCTCCGAAGGCGCGTGCTCCTCGCGCCGGCCCGGGGCAAGGCCCGGGCTGGGCCCGCGCCGCCGTCTCCCCGAGCGGGGACCAGTCGCGCGTGGTCCCGGGCCCATGCGTGGCGCGGGAAGCGCCCGCCGCGCTCCGCACACGCGGCGCCCGCGCGCGCGCTAATGGCGGCCGCGCCTCCCCGCCCACCCCGCGAGCGCGGCAACGGGCGGACGGCGCCGCCGCCGCGGAGCTTYCGGCGGCCCGAGCAGCAGCCTCCAAGCTCCGTTAGGGAGTTTCGGACCCCGCGCCCCCCCGCCACGCCGCCCTTGCCAACCGCCACCCGGCCCAGAGCGGGAATCCCGCACGGAACCCGCCTTCGGAGCGGCGGGGCCCGCGCGAAGCCCTCGCGGCCGCCTCCCCCACCCCGGGCCGCGAGCCCCAGCCCGCCCGGCCCCTCCAACGGGCCCAACGGCCGCTCCCCGCCATGAGCCACCATGACGGAGCAGCGCCACCTCCCCTCCCCCCGCCGCCGCCCGGCCCGCCCGCCCGCGCCGCCGCTTCCCCGCACCCAGCCCCGCCGCGGCCACGAGCGGGGCCCGCGCTGCCGCCCTCTCGCCTCATGGCGAGGCGGSGAGGAAGCCGCGGGGCCCGGGGAGGCGCTGCAGCAACGGCCACTCAGCTCCGGCCGCGCCGCCACCCAGCCCATCCCCTCCTCCCTGCGATCCCCGGCGGTAACGAACACCCCCCACCGCCCTCCGCGGGGCCGGGTAGGCGGCTGCGGCGCCGGTACCTGCGCCGGGCTGCTCTGCGCGCCTCTCGCCGCGGTGACTGGGCGCTGGGAAGATGGCGGAAGCGCCGTTCAAATACGCGGAGAGCGACGCCGCGCGGCCGAGGGGACGGGGAGGGGCCGCGCCGCGCGGGGCGTCACGTGGCGTCACGTGACGCGCGGCGGGCGGGAGAGAGCGCGGCCGTTGGCGCCGGCCCTGAGGGGAGCTGGGGAGGGGGCGCGTTTAAAACGGCCGCGTTTAACGAGGCTTTCCTTAAACTCTCTGCACGGCTGTTTTTCACCTCAAAAGAATAACTTATYCCCTACTAGATACTAGTTTTACTCCTATTAATAAAACTATCTTTGTGTAGGCCGTAGATTTAGAAAAAAAAAAGTTCTTTAAGCTCTGAAATCTGAACTTTAATGAAATAAAAGCTGCACAAACATCGATTTAAATTGATATTAAAATAGTTTATTTGCATGGGATTATTAATATCAAGCACACACAGCCATGCTGACTTATAAGTTCCTTTTTTATAGCTAAGCGTGTAAGTATTTAGGCAGTATGTTCCTTTTTTTTATAGGATGTGTAACATAGCGTGTAAGTATTTAGGCAGTATGTTCTTTTTTTTATAGGATGTGTAACATTTGATGCTGTAACTCCTAGTCAAAGATAAATACATGATTTTAAAAATAGCTCTTGCTTAAAATATTTTTTCATGGTGTTAAATAAAAGAGACTATCGTTCATTGTAATTTATGTATTTTGCATTTACATCCATGACAATAATGGAAAAAAATCATGAAAAAAATGTAAAATGGCCACACAAATGCATCAAGAAGACAGMTGGATTTTGAGGAAATGGTTTGAGTCTTGTATTAAGATCATATATAGATTAATATTAATTGTCTGTGGTTTGTTTATATGCTTTGCATCTTCTCAAGCGACGTCCATTATATTTTTGTAACCATTGCCAACATTGGAAGTGATCATCAAGCCAGCAAAAGGACCCACGTGTAGGAGGAATCTGCCTTGCTGTGCTGGAAGGAAGAGGCTGATGAGYTTAACACCCATTTCAGTTGAGTAGGGAAACCTGGAGCACGAGGGGATGATGGATAGCAGGGTCTGAGCAGTGGCAGGGGCTGTTCAGGAGCCTTGAGTTGGGCATCTGCACTTGGTCACCTGCATTCTGGGTCTCAAAGGGGGGTGTTTGTATCGTTACCCATTAATTAGGAAAGCACTTTTTTTTTTTTTCCTTCAGATAAAACAATAACGCTGTGTGATACTTGACCTTGGGATATTTAAAAGTGTCTTGCTAATTAAAAGATCTGAGTTGCTGCCAAGTATGTACAAGTTGCTGCAAAGATAGGTTTACCATAAGAGATCTGCTTGTTATCATGTTGTAAAGGYAAAGTATTCAGTTTAGAGTTGTACTGAATATCAAACCCTGATGGCCCCATTTAGCAAAGTCTGCAGAACACTTCCAAACACTCATCAATAGCATTCGCTAATGAAGACATTAGGGTCTATCCTTACTGGGAAAGTAGAATAATTACCTTTAAAAGATCTTTGCATTTCCTGTATGTTTGYTTGCAGCTCAGCTGTGAACAACTTAGTGACTGGCTGATTCAGATAAACATACTAAGTAAAGGGCAGAACTTGATAAGGAAAGATGAAGCACAAGAGCTGTATAAAGGGTTGTTCTGCAGATGAAAACAGAGCTAAACAGCACCTTGTCTTTGAACGCAGCTGCAAAACGCTAGCCTGTGCTTTGCTAGCTTAGCTCTAGGAGAGAGCGGTGAAACGCAAAGGAATAAAGGCCTATTTCACAGTTAAAGCACTGACTGGAATATTCACTCAGAGACAGACATCTCCACACACCAGTGTTCAAACTTACAGATAAAATTAGTCATTTTCAACATAGATATGTAAAATGAATCATAGTTAACACTTATGTGTATTGGAAACACTTTCTACCAAGACACGATAGCTATTCTAGGGACGAAAGCACGTCAAACTACTCTGAGACTTTACACTCCTGGAAGATAAACACTTACTAAGTCAGGAACGAAGACCTGATGCAGAGCTATTTTTTCCCCAGAAAACGCACCTGCAGAACCTTTCATTCTAACCATTTACTACAGYTGCTCACAATGATAATGCCGGGAAATGAACAGATCTAGATCTAGGTTCTAGTTACACCACCGAGGTAAATTTGCTCAGAGACAACTAGGAAAACATGCGCGCCAGGACCAAAAGACAGCACCGCGCGCTTAATGTATATGTGATATACACCGCCACAGAGCGACGGTGACGTCACCCTCTGGGGACGGGTGCCGCACCCGACCATTCCGCGCGGCGCGTGGCCGCGCCCGGCGATTTGCCTCGTTGCCGCCACCGCCCTCCCCGTAGTGCGCATGCGCGGAGCGGCGCCACCGCCTTCCCCGCAGTGCGCATGCGCGGAGCGGCGCCGCCGCCGGCGCCGCGGTGACTTTGGGCGGGGGCGGGGGAGTGGCCGCGGGCGCGCGGAAGGAGAGCGGAGCGGGGCCGGGCCCGGCCGCGCGAGCGAGCGAGCGCAGAGCAGCGGGCGAGGAGCAGCCGCGGCCCCTCGCGGCGGCGCTGGGCGGCCGCGGGCATGAAGGACCGGCTGGCCGACCTGGCCGAGGTGAGCGCCGGGCTGCGCCGGGGAGYTGGGCGCTGCCGCCCCCTGCCCTGGGGTAACGGTCGGGGGGAACGTCGTGGAGGCAGCGCCGCGGCCGCGGCCTCAGCCCTGAGGGCACGGGGGTCCCGGGCCGCSGCACGCTGTTTTCCGTAGGCCTCCACTGGGAGGAGGACGAGGAGGTGGAGGAGGAGGAGGGAGAACTTCCTCCCCGGGGATGGGAAGGCACTCCGGAGCGGCGGGGCCCCTCCAGCGAGCGGCGCTCTTACCCGGGCTCACTTCACCCTCCGCCGGAACAGTATTTACTAATATTCCCAATGCTGGCTTAGTCAGGGGAAATAACTAAGTTTTCGGCCCGGTTTTGGCCCGTTCTCGCGTGTAGGGGAAATTACCATCGCTGGAACTGTTTAACTAGCAGTAAATTCATCAGCAAATAAAGCTCTCCGCAGGTTCTGCGCTGCGCCTGTTCACAAGATGGTAGCTGGAGATGTTTATTCGTTCTTTTCCTTCCTCTGGTTCGCACTGTAAAGGCGGTACCATTAAAAAAGAAGGAGTTGGAGGGAGGAGGTGCTGGGTTTGCTTTCGGCAGGACGTGGCTTGGCCAAAATAAAAGAATATTTGACCTCRTTCTAAGGAAAGGAACGAAATTGGAGAGCATGTAGAGGTCTCTATTAGTTTTATGACTCCACATACASATATATAAGACTTGGCCCTTGCTGAGGTATGTACAGATTTAGGATTTAATYGTCTTAAAGTTAAGTTTTTATTTTATGGTTCAGAAAATACACTTCAGAAGCTCTGTGTTTGTGCGGTAGGGTGTCCAGTCTCTGCCTTCCTCCAAAAGGGTGGACTGGCATTTGAAAAGTCACTGCATGATTAGGTTACAGTGTCTTTACCAGGAAAGATATGCAAGAGTCATGATGAAGGAAAGTAGATTTTCTTTTAGGATATATATATWTTTTTTCTTTTCTTTTAGGTTTCTCATTTCTTTCACGTGTCCAGGTTGTAGGAATTCTCTGACTATGGAGACACAGCAGTGGTCTGTCTTGGACTAAAAGCAAATAAAAATCATTCCTTATATTCTTAGAAGCTTTCGAAGTAACTCCGTGTACAGGRGTTTCTAGGCTGCTTTAGTGTTTTTTTAACTGAAAGCATCCTTTTGCATCATTGGACAGCGTTTTGGTTTTTTTTTCCTTGATCATACAATTTCTTTGCAATAACTTTAGCAGCACTGTTTTTTGTTGGTTTGTTTATTGTTGTTGTTTGGTAACCTAATTTYTAGGCATTTACATAATGCCCCAAAAGCTCACTTTAGGAGTGAAGAGCCACAATGTTACAACTCTGAAAATTGATAAAATTGTGATARTAAGGAAAACTGCAAAAGGAGCTTTTTTTCAAGTTTGAATTGCCTTTTTTGAGATCACTTTTACATTAGTCTTTAAGCACAGAAGCATCTGACAATTAGCTGCAAATTTTCAGTGCCTTAACAGCATAGTTTCCTGTGTTCGGTCCCCATACAGTCGTTTTCTATGTTGTGCAGTAGGTTACTAGCAGGTACGGTTGACACATAAAAAGYGCTTAAAACGTTCTGGTTGGCTTTCAATACCACTTATCACTTTACCTGTGATAAAGAAAACTTCTTAAACTTGTACTGTAAGGGAAAAATGAAAAGCTATGTGTCACGTGCTTGATGCATATAGTATGGTGTGTGTATCTAAATATATATATTTTTTGTCAGCTGACTTTATTTGGCCTGTAAGTTCTGTAGACGTTTTTAAAGGAAGTGTGCAGATTTGTTATGCACACGCAGCAGTGTTGCACCTGCTTGCCTGCTCAGGGTGAAGCTGAGACGGGACCACGGTGCTTGGSCAGTGCAGTTATTCTCATTGCTCTCAGTTTGCTCTCGCATGCAGTGTGGTGCCCTGGCAGCACTTTGGGTCTGATTCCCTGGGATAATGGTCAGCTATTATCCGTGCAGCCTGTCAGATGTTTCCTCTGGAATACAGCTGATGAAAGGGAATGAAAATAACCAAACTCAAAGGGAAYTTTATGGGGAAATAAGTCATGTTTTGAATCCAATAGCTGTTTGCCCTTTAAAATAGCAACAGCTAATGTGGCAGGGCTTCTCTAAGCTGTAGTATTTTTTGTAATTCTGTGATGTATGGGAATTATCAAAAGTTTAATAAACCAACAGCATAGCTCCTTCAGGGAGCTGATAGAAACCATCTCTAAATGTATGTGGATTTAGTCGTATAAACTAGCTTCTGAAGAAACTTCATCTATTTTATAAGTCTATAAATACTGTGGAATTTTATGGCCCAAGTTTTCAATGCCAAGCTGCAAAAGAGACTTTGTGTGAATGTCAATGTTATTTAATAAAGCTTTTAATCAAGTTGCTTGTGGTACTGCTTGTACTGGGAAGGCGAGGTAGGGAAAAAAATATTATATTAGTGCTAAACTTGCTGATGAAAACAAGTGAGTTTTTAGTTGAATATTGTGCTGTTGCAGAGAAAGTGTGTCACTTAAGTTCCTTAGCCAATAACAAATTGATCACTTCCCAGTGGCCGCTTAAGGAATGTGATGGATAGAGGTTGACAAGTCAGCATATATCTTTCAAGTGCTGATGCAGGCTGCCCCCAAACACTTTGAACAAACTGTAAACAGCCAGTAGGTCTGTTGTCTGTATCACTGCAATGAAATGGGAAAGAAATGTACGTGAAACTGAGGGTAGTTTGCGTAATCATGACTGCTCAGTTGTAGCTTTACCTCTGCAAAGAATTGAGTAAGATTTCATATGTTTGATTAGATTAAGAATCTCTAAAAKGTGTTAAGATATTTTATTAAGCTGTTTGGTCCAAAGGAAAAGCTGACAGATGCTGAATTTCATAGCTAGTACTACTCTAGTTGTTTTTATTTCAGTTAACTGGTGTAATAAAAAGTTTTGTTATAAYTGGAAAATTAATTCTTTACTCAGTAAATATAAGCGGAAGCAGAAGGTCATCTTTTTGTGCTAATGAGATTAAACCTCTTTGATGTACAGCTCAGTCTTAAATATTAAATTATAAGTGATAGCTCTCTCATTGTAATCTCTAGTATGAGTACAAATTGTGTAATTGATTTTAGGGCACAGTGTTCCTCACTTTTCATTAAGCAGAACTGTTAATTGGGAAAATTTCTAAGAACAGATTTAAGTATTAATGTATGTGAATATATGTGCAATAATATGTATGAAATACATAAAATATAGCACTAATATTATGCAGAAACTTTTTGAATTTGCAGAGGGGAAGAAAACATACCACTTAATTACTTACACAGTTGTGATAAGGGGCTATTGAATAATAGGAACAGAAATTGAGTGTTGCAAGATCAAAGATAGAGGGACTTCTGAGAAAAAGAAGCCTTTTGCATGAATTTCTTCTAATATTACCTAACCTGTAGCTTATCTTTTCTATCAGTTAACCCCTAGACTGTATGGTAAAATGCAATAATCTTCATTAAATGTGGTTCAGATAGCCTGTGTTCTACAGCGTGAGTTAGAAAACATGCAAGCTAGAACTCTGCGCTTTTGTGTGATGCATGTTAATTCTCTTTTCCTTTTACCAAATTTGAATCCTTGTCAAGAGTCGCTTGTTCTGCTGGGCTTGCTCAGGGGTTAGGGAAGTATGACTCAGTGAATATGCCCATCCCCAGAGTAACCTCTCAGTAAGAGTGTGTCATTGGGGCTTCTGTCTCGCTGGCTGCCGTGCCGAGGAGCTCTAGATGATGTAATGCACATACAGTTTAGTAGAGCAAAATTATATCAAAATCGCTGTGGAATGTGATTACTGAAAATAGCCAAGAGCAACAAGTAGTAAGCAGTTCTTGACAGCAGTTTGTTCTGCAGATTTCCTTTAGTTGCTTGGCTCACTACATCGCAAGTCAGGAGGTCTTCAACACCACTCTTGGTGCTTCCTTGAGAAGGTTTGATTTATTGTCCTGAGGTAGTGCTGAAAGTGAATATTATTTTCAGTTCACATGGGACTAATTGGATTCATCTTTTATGTTGTCAGGGAACACTTGCCTATTTTTTGATGTTAATTTTGTATTTTAATTTTTATGACAACTAATGAAAACTTGCRAATTCCCAAAAGATGACTTTTGTCCCAAAGTTGTTTACCGAGGAATACATACCCTAATGTTCACAGCTCCATGGTAGTCAGCTGACTTCCTTTGACCTCTCTGCTTATTTGTCTTCAGATTACAGTCCTCTGAAGAAGAAAACTTCCCTTTTGACCTTGCAGACTGTTGATAGAAAGAAGTCTCAGTGGTCTCTGAGCAGAAATCCAAGTTTTATTTCGCTGCTTTGTTTTGCTGTGTCTTTTACAGTGTAAAAGAAGTGAAGATGGAGAGACAGTTATTGTTGAAAAAGACCATTTCATGGATGACTTCTTCCAGCAGGTAAAGTTGTATAGATTTTGCTACACTTTAAATACCATGCAACATATAAAACCAAATTTTAGTAATGCTGGTAAGACTTTAAGTGGGTTTTTTTTTTTTCCTACTAAGAGAATAGTAGCATTTAAATTTTTGGCCCTTCTATTTTCTATTAAAAATAATCTGCTTTAAAAAAAAAAAGACGTTTAGCTGACAATGCTGGTAATATTAGTGATGAGATTATTTTAAATTTTAGCTATATAGTTTTCCCCTGGACATATTTATGAGCTTTTGCTTTTTACTGTAGTGTCAACACAGGGCTGCAATGCATGCACGTGCTGGGATTTCTGTCAGTTACTAATGCTGCAGAAAAACATTTGAAACTTTTACTATCCAAACCTTTTTTTTCCCTCCTAAAAAGGAGCCATTCCTAGTGAATTATTCTAATGCTTTCATTGCCATATGTTCTTTTCCTTTAGGTTGAAGAACTTAGAAATAATATAGCAAAAATAGCACAAAACGTGGAAGAAGTGAAGAAGCAGCACAGCATTATCCTCTCAGCACCAAATCCCGAAGGAAGTAAGTATCACTCTTCTCTTCCATATGTGCCAATAGATATTTAGCAATTAATTTAGTTTTAGCTATGAATCRGAATAGAACTTCAGAGCAGGTGCAATATATTTCTTTAAATATTTCAGATGAAAATATAATGAAAATATTTACTTTCGTAAAATTCTCGTTTGAGTAAACATTTACAGTTACATCATTTACACCAATGCTAGTCTTAGCACACAGCTGGTCTTCACACCAACTTAATTCCCTGGTGACATTCATCTCACTTTACTAGCTTACAGCTGGCTCTGTTTTCTCAGCAATCTGTGATGGACAGAGAAAGATCAATTTAGCAACACCTAAATTTGTGCAGTGGCAACTATTAGCGCTTGGAGGAAAGCTGCTGTTGCTGTCAAAACTTGAACACTGAACTAAAGGTAACTCAAGCTAGGGATGGTCTCCAACTAAACCTTGCAGTCCTATAATCACATGCAGTCAAATCAGATTTCTATTTGCCATGATAGGTCACTTAATTTCTAAAAATTATACCTTAATGCTTTAACTCATGTTGCTTTCTAAATACTCAGTTTCCTCTGATCATAGGTAGTAAGCATATAGAGGTGATGCCTTGAGTGTTTTCCAGAAGAAATTTAGTTATTTCTTATCAATAACTAATGATTTTGATTTTTTTAAGGAACAAAGGAAGAACTTGAAGAGTTAAATGAAGAAATAAAGAAGACTGCTAATAAAATCCGAGCAAGATTAAAGTGTAAGTTAGGAAAAGAATTAAAATTGCCATTAAACATAAAATGTTTTTAGGATGTTAGGAGTGCTGTCAGCTTCTTGCATTGTAGCAGAAATTCTGAAATTTAACAGCTCCATTATGTATGCATAAATTGTATTGTATACATCTTTCCTGGCAGTCCGAAAATTTTAAGAAAATGCTGTATATGTTTTATTAATAGCTTTAATACTGAGCTCCAAATGCAATATTTCAACTTTTTGGTGTTCCTGCTTGTCTCGGTTAAAAAATACAGGTCCCAGCACAGCCTGATTTGTGGAGCAACACAAAGAACTTGATTACTTGGAGAAATAACCTAGAAAATTGTGCTGTGAAGTAGTAATCCTTTGAGRAAATGTATTCTGCAACTGAAATACCATTTTATGCTCATACTGTGTTTTGGAAGAAGTTGAATTGAAGAAAGAGCCTGCGTGGCATAAATATCTACGTAGGAATTGCTTTTAAATTCAGACTGGCTAATTTGACTCTGTGGGTGTGTCCTTAATTGATCARCATGGATTTTAAAATGTGATAACTGTTTGAATTACTATTCAAAGAGATTACAATCAGTATAAGCTTTGTTCCGTTATGCTTTCATAAGCACTAGAATATGATTTTTATCATTTAAATTGTATGAACAACCTATTTTGTTAGACTTTCTGAAATGTGTAAAGGTTAATAGATACCTGTCTGTCTTTTAAGAGTATTTAAGCACTTACAGTTTTAAAATCTGGTACCCAATTTAGTAAATAGTGGATTAAAACAACAGAAAACACAAACATTAAACCTTGTTTGCAAGGGGATTGTACATCCAAAAATTGATTATTAGTAGTGTTTCCAAATAACCTTGATSTACACGATTGAATAATTGACCATTGACTTGCATTTTTCTGTTCTTAGCAATTGAACAAAGTTTTGAACAGGGTGAGAATGCTAATCGGACATCAGTAGACCTCAGGATACGAAAAACACAGGTATAATTATGTAATCTTTTTAAATAAATTCTTTAAATCAGTTTCAGAACTTTATCTTCTGTTTTGAGTTCAAATATTAGTACCATTTTTAATGTTGTGCAGTAGCATTTATTGTAAACTTTTTAAAACTTTTATTTTGTTATGTATATGTATTTATCTTTAAAAACCAGCACTCGGTGTTAGCTCGGAAGTTTGTGGAGGTCATGACAGAATACAATGAGACCCAAATTCTTTTTCGAGAACGCAGCAAAGGTCGGATACAGAGACAATTAGAAATAAGTAAGTGACCTGAATACTACTTATAAAAAGCTGAATTTTGTAGGAGTCTTTGGTATGAACCATCAAACATCTTGGGTGCTTTCCTGAAGCATGTGATAGGAGGGAAAAGAAATAATGCTATCGAGTAACATCAAGTCTGATGTTGCTCTTTAGAGTAGTTTTAAAGAAAATACAGCAAACTTGCAACTTTTCTGTTGAAAATTAATATATCTGAAACAAAGGGTATAGATATTTGTGTTGCAACTTTAAAAGAAACATTAAGCTGACATGCAGACACTGCTTTGTAAAGAAACAGAATATTCTGTAGCAGTATTATTGAAACCATTCCAAAATTAACATGTTAAACAGCATTCTTGGGCTGTTTACGTCGATGAGAGTATCTGTTAAATTCAGCTGATGTGTCACCAGTGCTACTGTTAGATTCTAATCACTTATTCACTGATTTACATGAACTGATTCTGCCATTCATGGCTAGAAAAGCACCTAACTGTTCCTAGACAAAGTGGTACCTTGCTAGCTAGTGCAAAAGACTACCTTGTTTGAAACTGAAAAATATTCGAAATAGAATTTTTCTCCAATTTGTTGCTTTTTCTGCTGTGGTAAAACAATATTTTGAGTAGTAAATAACTTGATGTTATATGGTGTGCTACTGTTTTTTATCTTAGCTGGGAAGACTACCACTGATGAGGAACTGGAAGAAATGTTAGAAAGTGGTAATCCTTCAATTTTTACCTCTGATGTACGTATATTTGGTCCAGTAATGTCATCCATTCTGTTTCTTCTGCTACTTAGCTGCATTTCAGCACATAACAATATTTTCTCATACTTTTTAAGATTATATCAGACTCTCAAATTACTAGACAAGCTCTGAATGAAATCGAGTCACGCCACAAGGATATTATGAAGCTAGAATCTAGCATACGGGAACTACATGAAATGTTTATGGACATGGCAATGTTTGTTGAGACTCAGGTAAATGAAAAGCTCTTTTATGTAAGTGGGGTTTTTTTAGTCTTTGAGAAATGCAGAGACAATTATATTCAGGTAATAAATCACATTGTTTTTGTAGGTACAATTTTTGTTCTAATCGTAGTGCTGTAGATCTTATGAAAATCAGTCATTAAAGGGTTTTTGTTCTGTTTTAGACTAACTGCAATCTATCTGTACTGATAGTATGTGTTACAGATAATTAAAGTATGTCAAGAGAAGGAGGTCAACTTGCTTGTATTAGGGAGTAGGGAGAGAATATTTTTTGTCTTGAGGAAAAAAATCTCTTTCCTCAAATGTCTGCTTAAGCTAATGTCTTGGAAGGTTGCTTGGGATTCTCACAGACATAGTATTGGACTACGGTAGAATTAAATGTTCTAGGAGGGGTATGTGCAGTCCACATACAATACACAGATGTAATTTCTGTTAAAATTAACATTGATGTAAAGGAATCGATAAATCATCCAAGTAGTCTGTTATAAGGTTTATCTTAAGAGATGTGTATTCATGTTATTCTAGTCTTCAGATACCAGCTTTCTAAATATTTATTATCTTAAAATTATCTGACTTTTGCAATGTAGTGTAAAGTTTAATGTTCAGGAGAGAACTGTTCAATGGAGATTGAGTTGCCCTGAAGAGAACAACCAGTTCTAGAARTCTTACGTTACTTTGTAATTAAGTTTATAGCCAAGGAAAATGRCTAGCATTTTTTTATGAAGTAAATATATTTCGCATGATGCTAGAAATGAACAAAAGTTACTTGTGCATCATTAATGCTTTGCTGTTTACTGCTGCTGATTTTTTTTTTCTTCTGATGGACAGAAACACAGGTAACAAATCTACGATAATTTTCCACCAATCCTCCATTTCATTACCGAAGTTCATTCATCATAATTATTTTGAATTTGTTATGTATTGGCATTCTAAACCTTCAGTTGCAAGGAATCTTGCTTTCTCAAGTTATTCTTCGGTGTGCATTTTTTTTAGATCCCAGTTAGTTTTCTCAGTATGGTCAATACGTGTGCCCACTGCCAAGTGTTTTAGATGTTCAGTACTATTTCCTGCAAGAGGGGGAAATGCCTGTCCTGCCTATGTTCCTTGCTGCATTAGAACTTCAAGATCTTGCTTCATATTCCTGTTTCCCGTTACATGTCAATGCAGAAAAATTCAGCCGTAGTGCTTAAAACATTGATGCGTTCAAAAAAAAAAAAAAATTCCTAATACTCCATAGCCATTTTTGTTAAACATTGCCTCCAGGATTCCTGTAATAAACTTTTTTTCCTTAATCTTATTTTAAGGGCGAAATGATCAACAATATAGAGAAAAATGTAATGAATGCAACAGATTACGTGGAGCATGCTAAAGAAGAGACAAAAAAGGCAGTTAAATATCAAAGCAAAGCACGAAGGGTATGCYATCTCTTTATAACTGCTAATGATCATACTAACCTTGCACAAAGTGAAGTGACCTTCACTTTTAGATTTTTTTTTGCTGTACTCAGTCCTACAATGTAAAATCAATAAATGYATTTGTAATATTTAAAATTATATTGGAAAATGAGATGGGGGAGGGTTCTTTAGTAAACCTCTCKAACATATACTAATTTGTAACAAATATCTATAATTGTGTCAGTGTGTTGAATTAGTGTGTGGTAGCTTTAGTGGTAAAASTTTGTTTTACTGATGGAGAGCATAAGCTTCTTGTATAATGAAAATAGATAGTGGTTGACATGCAGCAAAAACAAAACAGTTGAGGTTACAGAGTAGAAAACAGACAAGAAGAGATTAATGCTTTCTGCTACTTGCTAATTCCACAGGTTCATTTTGTGGCATCACTATTGTGAAGCCTAGTTATTCAAGCTCTAAATAAATGCTTTTGCATCTTCAAAACTGATAAACATATCTGGATGTGTAGCTATGAAATTATCATGTTAGCTGAAAAAATAGAATCACTAGTTTTGCTGCAACAGCATTACTTAGAATTCTATCTGTAACCATTTGCAGAGAACTGYATATCTTACCCCATAAGAATATTAAATGGGGGTGAAACTGCTAAGAAAATTGTTTATAAATAGCATGCAAGAGAATACAGAAAAACTTAGCTTATACTATGGATTTTAATAAAAATATCTGATATTATAAACTGAATATATTAAAAACGCAATATTTTAACATTTAAGCTAGTGCAAGTCTTAATGTGTATGATTTTAAAAATATAATTTTCTTTTTGACAGAAAATGTGGATAATTATCCTTGTGTCATTGGTGTTGCTTGCCATAATTGCTCTAATTATTGGTTTGGTTGTTGGTACTCGGTGATGCTTGGATAACTTCAGCATGCATGCCTTCCTGCCAGTGTGGCAGTAAGTAACTAATCAACTAATTTTGCTCTCAGTTTGCTCTGACAAGTTGCTAAAACAATTCTTTTACTAACCATTAATATATTTACAGTTAACATGGGGGGTGGACTTGAATTGATGGGTCTTCTCCATCTGTACTTCAGAGTTCTATGCGTGTGAATATTGAAAACTGACATCTAGTGGTAAGTTAGTAAACTTACAACGTGCAACCATGTTATATAAGACTTGCCGTCAAATAAGAAAAAGCCACAAAACATCTGCTTAATATCTTRTAAGGCATTCAGTGTTTTTATATACCTAAAGTTCACACTAGCAAACAGCCTGAAGTAAGATGGAATAGTAGGTACACTTGGATATTTATCACATAAGATTATTTACTTTTTTACACGTTTTCAAAAAAAAATTATATATATAATACTACATAATATTTGCAACTACAAAAATATTTTACCTTCCAGGACATCCTGAAATKTCATATTTTTAAATTTTTTATTTATACTAGACCTTACGAAAGTCTGTAACTGCATATATGTATATGTGTGTGTGTGTATATTATATGGAATTTCTGTGAAAGACAATAACCTGAATATATGTTTCAGAATTCTCCAGGTATTTTCCCATTTGCTGCACTAAGATTCCTATGTGGGAAACTAACACCTTGTCTAGTCAGACTAAGAAAATGATAGGGCTGAACTCCTGTGAGTTCAGCAGAAACTCTGCTCTGCTATTGGAGACATTTCAGCCGATCAAAAATTCAATTGTCTTTAAGATATTTCTAATATCAGAGTTTTGTTCCTTGCAGTGCTTATGAAAGATTTACTGCATAGTGTTTTATAGACACATTATTTAATACCACAAGTTGCATGTGGATACTAATTATTCTACAAAACAAAATATGGAGGTGTTACACAGATAGCTGTAGCTTGTCACTGTCATTACATGTACCTTAGAAAAGAAAGAGAAGCAAATAGAAACTTATGATAGGTAGTAATCTTCAAAAAGAAAATCCAAACACTTCCGGTGGTTGAATTATCAACATTAKTAATTGGCTGTCAGAATACTCTTATTTAAGTGCTATGTCTGAGATGGATTAATCTAAACTTTCTTCTTTTTTTTCAGAAAATGATGTACATAATTATATGCGTTACTGTCTTGCTTCTGATACTTGGGATTATCCTAGCAACAACACTATCGTAACAAGCACATTCCAGGAGTTGTGAACCTTCTGAAACTCATTCATTGTCAGTAAAACCAAACGTTTACTGTAAAAGATGCCTTATACTGTTGCATGATAATGACCTATWACTAATGGATAAAATGAAAAGGAAGTCACTTTTAATGTGTGCTCATAAATTAATGTGCTCAAAATGATCACGGTGAATGAGGATATGTGTGGATTTTCATCATAAAGTGCACATTTGTAAGACTGAAACTTATTCTTAATTGTTTTGAACTAAAAGTAACTTAACTTTTTTCTGTACTTCAGTGTTAAGCAGTTGAATTAGGGCGTTGAGACACAATTTACTGAATTTTGGCTGTTTTGCTTTTTGCTCTATGGCTAATGCAATTCTAATGAAAAATTTTAGTACCATATCAGTGCTGCTTTTCTTAGCACTCTTGCAAACATTTTTATAAGATGTAGCCATGTCTTTAACTATTCAGTCACCTTAACCTAGCTAAGCTGTATACCTAAAAACTTTCTGCATCCACTGCTAAAATATTTTGTCCTAAAAGGACTTACTAGTTATTTAACTATCTGCCTATTGCATAACTTTTTTATTTTGTTTAAGCCTTTTTTTAAAGTTTCCAGTATTTTTTTTCAACATGACTAGGGTTAATTGCTTTAAATATTTCTTTGCTTGTATAATCAGAAAAATAGTGATGCTTTCTGGCAAAAGTACAATAATGAAGCACACAGAACTTTAGCATGTAATTTTACCAATAATCTTTGTTTTTGCAAATGGAACTAATGGATCAGTTTAGCCTTACCGTTGATATGAATATGACAGAAGTCACACTTTTTGCTCTATAAAGCCAAATCAAGATTTCATTTTCATAAGGCTGCTTTATGTTGATGCATGCGTATAGCACATAGGGATAAATGAATCCCCTCAGAAATCTCCCAAATGTAACGTAAACTAAGACACTGACTTGTTCAACTTATGAATTGTATAACAGATATGAAGTGTTTTAGTGCATACCTGTTGTAAAGATAGCTTGTAAAGCTTGGAAGACTTCAAATGTAACCAAATAACTGCATTTAATGTTACAGGTTTTTATCTTCTGTGTAAAATATGTCACTTTGATTTTTGGTTGTTCTTATTGGTTCTCTTTGTTTAAGGATATCCATGTAGATATGTAGATATATTTACACAAACAGAGAAAGTATAATGGGTGCCTTTTTAAACAGTCTAAAACTACACTTGTCAATKTTTCCAGATGTCAGCTATAGATAATGCTAACTACAAAAACTGTTATAAATGTGTTTTGTTGAAAGTGTCTAAGATCAAAGTAACTCACTAAAATATAATTCAGTCTTCTTGATTTCCTTCATGAAGTTCAGYGAAGTTTACAATATATATTGTATGTATGAATACACTTGCTTTTGCTGCCCAAAKGTACTGTGAATATACTGGATCTGTTGAGATGTCAAATATGTAGAAAAGCTTATTTGTCTTTTGCAAGTCAGCCATAAAAAGACTCTTAAACCATGAGCTTCTATAACGAACAGACTTTTTTACCTCTAAGTCCAGAACACTCACCAGTGGTTGTGAGTAGGTTTACATATGAGCTAAGGAGAAATTGCTTGACTTAACTCATTTTAAGTAAAATATATTTTATTCTATCGTTTTCTAGATTTTTATCAATAAACGTTATTTATAAAAATTAGTTCAGGGAAAAAAAAAATCAATTTTGTTGTCTAATTGATGGTTATCTCAAATGACCCCCAAAATAGTCATGTTGAATTTTCTACTTTGTATGAAAGACTGCCCAAGTAGACTGAAAATTTGAATAGACCACTCGATACTTTTGTAATAGAGCTGCCTCAAAGAGTATGTTTTTTGTTTGGTTAGTTTTTTTTTTTTTGTTTTGTTTTTCTTCACATAAACCTCATTATTTGCTTTTTTCCTGTTAATACTGGGGGGAGGAAATCTCTAACGTATACATTAATAAATTTATCTAAGCACATGTCTTGTGGCTCTTTATGATGTTGTTGGGGAGGGTGTATGTAATATTTCCAGTAAATGTATATTTCTTTAAACAGCTCCGACAGTTGGTATCTAGGCTTTAGAGTATGTTTCCGGAAACTCTTAATCAAAAACAGTGTGCAAGTTAAAAGAGGTATAGAGATGATGCTCTGTAAGTTAACATTTTATTTGAAGTTACTGCCCATAGAATTTTGCTACAGCATTAAACTTGAAACACATGGGAGGTATTTTAGGCCTGCGGAGGTAATAGCAAAGGACTTAAAAGTTGGGAATTGGCCAACTTGCAACTAACTATAAGATAATTCAGCATTTATATATATTTATATATACACTGACACACATACATAGAAATATATATACACATATATGTTTCTGTATCCAGAGACTTTGGTAACAGTGAAAATTCTGAATTTAATAATTAACGAAACACATGTCCACGAAAGCTAACTATGAAAAGGGAAATCTTAACATAKGAATTTACGTGGTTGCTCTTATAAAGAAGTGTAAAACCAAATGCAACACTTGAATTAGTTATTCGTGSAGGAATCTCTACTTCATATTGCAGTGCAAGAAATCCTGTGGGAAAACTGCCAAGTCTCAATATAAGTGAACTAAGGCTGTTTCAAAGGAATCTTTTCTTTGCTGCTTTGGTTTGTGTACCACGGAGATATTTCTAAGCAATGCAGCACCCGTTTAGCATCGCACTATACCAGTTTTAATAACTACGAGCCTGATAAAATTTGAAAAGTCGAGGAAAATTGGTGCCTAAGAGAGGAGATACTTTTTCATATAAAAACCKTTTTTAGAATAACTGCTAGGCAGCTGTTATTAGTGTGTTAATTACAAAAACCTGGTTTTGCTTTTTACAGTTAATAACTAGTAAGTGTCATCTGATACGTTCTTGTGGCTTGTATTTGACTTCTGAAAATAACCATGGTGTTCCGCCCCACCGTGCGCTTAGTGGGTCAGTCTTTGCACCTGTGAAACTGTTTTAGTCTTTTATGTCATATACAGTAATTGACTCTTCAGTGACATAGTGCCGTTTGCAGAATACTCCAGTTACCCCTGTCAAACATGCAAAGTTCTTCTGCCAATAGCAAAGCACTTGCAAATCACTGTTTTGGAATAAAAAAGAGCATTTCATAAGCACTTAGAACTGGGTGCTGAAGAACAAAAAGTGCTTTTGGAATAATAATTTTTACGGAGAAAAGCAGAAATGGTAAGTAGTTAAAAAATAGTTGTGGTTGTTTATGTATTATAAAGAATGGTTGGYTGCTTTTGTAGACTGTGCGTGAATCCATTTATTGTAGGTAGGGGGATAGTGTGATATCGCTAAGCAATAAATAGCCTTAGAAAATTGTCAAGCTATGAATTACAAATAGCTAAAAATATATATCAGAGTTTAAGTTGGAAAGCAAGGATTATTTTGTATATCAAAATTATATTTTACATGTTTGTACTTAACCCGACATAAGGCTATATGTGGTAGCATAAGTTAGTTGTTGACAACTGAAAGTAAACTGAGCTGGACAACATTAACAGGGAATGTCAATACGAATCCTCAGCATTTATGTAGCTGTTCCCTTGACGCTGCTTTCATGTGATCTTACAGAAAATGTGCGGGCAGTTACAGTAGGTTTTTGTCAAGATAATGTTGTGTAGAAGTGCTAATTCTTTGGAACTTCTAAGTTTTTTTTAAGTATTTTGGGGTTTTGATTATTTCATAATATCAATGTTTTCAACATTGGGGGAAGTCTGTTACAGTAATCATATCTAAAATGCTTGAAATATATGGAGGCTGTAGATGAGAAGATAGAGAAAGTGACGTCTGGGCAATATTACTGCCATGGGTTTCTTTCTTTATTTATTTCTTTTTTTCTTTCCCTTCTTACCTCTACTATGAGCCTATAGTGAGCATCTATATGTCATAAAATTTGAGTAAATTGGGTTAGAAGAGATTTCAATAGAACCTCTTGCTCAGAGCATCATCAGCTGTGGACTAGTCTTGGTTTAATCTATGTTGATATTTCCATCTTTAAGTGTTTATAGATAAYTGCTAGCAAGTGAATCTAACTGCTTCAGAAAACTACCTGAAGGAAAAAATAAATAAATACAAATAGCTTTTAAGCGTATAGAATTTTGTTGTATGTATTTCAAAAGATGCCAGCTTTAAATTAGTTTATGCAGGAAATACCCATTGCATTTCCAGCTCGCATGCTTGCTCTGGTTTTGATTTTCCCTTTTGGTAATTTATTCACACTAGAGTTAGTGGCTGGAATCTCAGAGGAAAATAAAAGCTAGTGTTTTGAAAACTAATGAAGTAATTATCTAAAGCATTATTTACAATGATAATTTAGRAGATAATGAGACCCTTTAATTATGTTTGTTCTGCGTAGCTAGCCTTTCAATAATGCAGGGTTTTGCTGTAGAATTTTCTTTATATTAGCTTTGCTCTTTTTTGTTTRGAAGATGTCACAACTGTCTGTAATTCGCAGCTATTGGCCCTCCTTCTGTATATAGTGTTTGTCACACGAGTTGCGTGCTCGCTTAGACTGGAGTAGGAGGCTCTCAAGTCAGGTTTATTTATCTGTCTTCAGTGGAACGTGGAAGAAGGAAATTACTGGTGAAACAAATCTGGGCTAACTTTTTAAAGACTAACTTTAAAAAAAAAAAAATGTTACTATAGTATTAACAAGAATGTGTTAATTCAGTAATCTATTACCATGCATCTGACTTGTTTCAGATGAAGCTTGACTCGGTTCATCTGCCAAGATGCCAATCTAAGTTGCAGTACTTGGTAATACAGGCGTTGCTGCTTAGAAGTTGACTTAAAAAAATACATTTTGGAGAAATCAGACATCTTGGAGGTTTTCTCCTCTAATTTTGCTGACATGTTATTTACACTCAAGTCAACTATTGGGATCTTTCCACTGACTTAAGCTGCGCTGTGCAACTAGAATCCTTACCTATCTTCCCTTTCTTTGATACAAGGAGGAATATATTTTAATTATACTGGTACATATTTAAAGTTACATAAAGCAAGGGCATGGGAGAATATGAGGCAATTAAAAGTTCAAAATAAATGTTAAGCAATATAATTTTGTGTTCCACAAGGCCATATTTTTCCAGTAAAAATTCACCTTTTATTTTTAAGTACTATTAAAGAAACTATTTAAAAGCAGGACAAAATACTGGACAATGTTTTGACCTGTTACTTTTTTTTTTTTGAATTATTGACCTTACAAAATGTTCTTTACTTCTGTCCCAATTTTGGATGGGGAAATTCCTCCCTTTCT